TAATCAAGGGTTAAGAATAGAACTTTGGTTAGAGACTTTGCCACTTGGGGACATTAATTAATCATCTAGAAAGCCTCATAAGAAGGAAATTAATAACATCAGAAATTCAGAAAAAAAAAGTGTGAAATCGGGCATACGACTAATATAATATAGACATTTTAGCTGATTTTTTTTTAATAAACCTTACGTTTTTATTTCATATAAAATTATGTATTCTGGCTTTTGGTATGCATGGGCCTGATTATTATCAGATCCTATGTATGATGAACTACAAAATGGACAAAGAGTGTTACGATCATAAATGCATAATGACTCAATATTTGAGTAATTTTAAGATCAGTCTTAATCACTTTTCCGCGATTATGATCCAAACTTACTTAATCCCGAGTTCGATCCTCCCTGGAAACAAAAACACATTTGTTTGGGAAGTCTGTCAGTTGGGCTTTGGCCCAATTGATTTACCTGGTAGTCAGAAATGCAGGCGGTCTGACTACCCCCTGGCATTAGTCGGAAGACACTCTAAACTCGGATCAGGCAGTTTGGTGGTCCAATTCTGGATCTCATGAATCTCATGGTCCGTTTGATCCGAATCCGCTCGGAGCTCATTGTGTCCGTTGAATCGTTGAACCATTGAACCACATGAGTAATCCACTCTGTAGCACTTCGGTGCGTTCCTACCAGGGCTGACCGGATAAGGCGATAGGGTTTATAAAAAAAAAATGATCCAAACTTACCAACTTCCCCTTTGGTTTTAAAAATTTTAAATACTATTTTGATATTTTCCAAATCGAAAAAAAGAAACTATTCTGCTGATGGACAGAACCGGGCTCTAAATAAGCCACAACGATTAAAATAGGCCCAGAGTATATATTTATGGGCCTTTATAAAGCCCAATAGAATGATTTGAGATCTGGAAGTGGGCCCCAAGATGAGCTGTAGAAAAGCATTGCAAGGCTGTGTGAGATGAATGATGATGACGCGAGGTGGGCCACGTGGGGGAAGGAATGTTGTTAGGCTTTTTTTAGTCTAAAGGCGTGCGGAGACACCTCTGTCTCTTTGCTCTTTTTCTTCTTTATTACTCTTTTTTTTTTTTCCATTTTAATTATGCACCTTGCTCATATAATCTAAAGTAAGTTCTACTAAACATTGCAATATAAAGTTATAAACCATAATTTGTAAGATTGATCTAGTTTTAGAGAAATCACTTTTGGACAATAGGCTGAAGATAATAAGGCCGTTTTTTTTTATTCTTGTTGTTGTGAGATCTCATAAAGGAGAATTCCAGACTTAAAAGTGTTACAATAATCAATTGGAGTTTAATTCTTCATATATATGCATGATCTATCTATGAAATTTGGCTGGAAAACTATGTAAATCCGTACAAATTTGATTCACAATAATGTAGAATCTTATATATTTTTTGGTATTTAGAATGGTGGAATTTATCTAACATGAATTTTTTTTATTTAACTTAAAAAAACAGTAAACTAGATTTTAGATTATCAATAAATTTATAGAGTCTGACTGGTGACACAGTACACATTTTTTTTTAACTAATAGAATAAGTGGTAAGCGATACCAGAATAGTTAAAAAAAAACACATAATAATTGTATAAAAAAACCGATCTATAAACTGAGAGTAACATTTTTTGTAAAGCTTTTGATACCACCTTTTGTAATTGGATGTAAATCAGCATAATTTGTGATTAATGAAATTCTGAAATACTTTGCGAACTATCAAATAAACTTACATTTGATCTCAATACACGTAAATATGTTGCCTAACACATTATTAAATCATGCTCTAAGAAGTCTGCATGTCCGTTTGCCCGGACAAAAAAAAAAGAAGAAGTATTAAATCATTTATGTCTACTAAATAAATGACACACCTTTGTGTGCAATTATAATATGGATTCTTATGAAGGTAACAAAAAATTTGAAGGTTTAATATATAATTTTTTTTACCAATTTTAGTAAAAATGGTAAAATGATAAAATATATAGTTCAATTTATTTAGAGGTATATGTGGACTAAAAACATATAATAAAAATAAAACACAAAGAAAATTAATGTTTTTTTTCCTAAGAGAATGTCTTCGGTTGAAATTTTTTTTTGGGTGGAATTAAATATACGGAATTTTTAATTTTTATACCTATTTTCCACCAATAAAACACCAAAAATTAAATAACAGCTCAAATATATATATTTTCCAACTGTAAATCTATTTTACAGAGTGGATCCGACCAACAAGAAAAAAAAAGTGTACACACAGTGACCGTACAAAAAAAAAAAACGTCATTGATATTTGTGAAAAGCTAAGTTAAATAATTCAATGAGTGTGTCCCCAACTTCTCTCTTTTTTTTGCTTCCCTGACTTTTCCTTGAATCCTCTTCCCTCCTTCTCTTCTCTCTCTCGTCTCTCAACTACCGTTTCTCTGCTTCTTCTGTTCCCAAAATCGGAAACTTTACTTGGTTGAATTTTCCTTTGTTTCTGAAATGGAAGACACAACATTTACCAAAGTGTTCGTTGGAGGATTAGCTTGGGAAACACACAAAATCTCTCTCAGGAATTACTTTGAACAGTTTGGTGACATTGTTGAAGCTGTCGTTATCACTGATAAATCTAGTGGTAGATCTAAAGGCTACGGCTTTGTAAGTGTTTTCTTCTTCTTCTTGTTTCTTTGAGATTTATTATAGCTTCAAGCTCACGGGTTCTGTTTTTTTTTTTTTTTCTTTTGAAAGGTTACTTTTTGTGATCCGGAAGCAGCTCAGAAAGCTTGTGTAGATCCAGCTCCTGTTATTGATGGGAGAAGAGCTAATTGTAATCTTGCTGCTTTTGGTGTTCAGAGATCCAAACCTTCTTCTCCTATTCATGGTACTTTTAGGTTTCTGTCTTTTGGTACTTTACTTTTGAAAACCCTAGTTTATGTATATCCATGGATCTTACTATTCTTTAAGAGAAAAGCTGGAATTGTATGTCTTGAATCACATATTAGTAGCAAAGTTAGATATTTTATCTTACTTTATTGTTTGATGTATAGCTTCATCTTGATTCAGCCAACTGGTAAAGCCATTTTCTTGCTCAGTAGTCTTTATGATTCTTCTGCAGACTAGTTAGTTAAACCTTCTGGTTAAACATGTTGTGTTTTGTTCTTTTCTGAAAGCAAATGTTTGAGAGGAGATTCTTATGGTGTTGTGTGTTAGCAGGACATGCAGGAGGAAGAGGCGGTATGAAGGTGACTAGCCCATTCAAGACACACTTTGGGGCCGCGGCTGCTGCTATTCCTTCCCCACTTCCATTCTCCCACTACACACTTCCTTACACTAATCCTTTTGGGTACTCCACGTTTAGTCTCTTACTTTATTTTTTTCCAAACTCATCACTCTACTTAGACCGATAATCCTCTTTTTTGTCTCATTAAACTTTCTTAGGTTCTCTTCATACTCAATGGATTACAATTACCCCACGGTATGTATATTGTGCTTTTCTAAATGAGTCTCTCCCTACTCTACTTTAGTCTCTTATAGCTTATTGGATTATTGTTTTTGCAACAGAGCTACTACAATGTTTATGGAGGGGCAGCTGCTCAGCATCCAATGTATGGAAGCGGACCAATGACTGGTGTAACAGCAGCAGCAGCAGGTTTCTACCCATATCTCCAGTTTGCTGAAGGAAATGGACCTGTAACTGGTTATGCTCCTCTCCACTACCCCAACCACATGTTTCACTATTCTGCTCTTGCCTCGGCTACCGGGGGAAACTACCCGCATCACAATGGTTCACCAGTGTCTCTTGCACCTTCACCGGTCATACCATCAGGTTTGTGTGTTTATATGTTTTCGTCGTTCATACACAACGTGTAAAACCAGAGGTACTGATGTTCTCAGCAGTTTGCTTTGCAGTTCCACAGGCTTGACAACAAAGGCTCATGGTTCAACTCTGATTCCATGATGCTTATGTAGGGGACCAATTCATTTAAATCCTTAAGGCAAGCTTTGTTTACTACTTTCATCCACATGCCTCTGAAGTTCCACAAGACCTGTGGCCTAACCATGGTTGCCCTTTTCCCTTTATGCTTCTAACCCATTAGACAAAGAGCCCATAATTTGGAGTTTGGGAGTCTTTGCAAGTTCTAGTTAAGTCTCACATAGGGGTTTAACTTGGACCATCTTCATACACATTACTCATCTTTTCATTTTATTCATTGCATTACATGCTTTCTGAACGAAGGTTTCGTTCAAGATAGCCTGTTCGAGCTGTAGAAGTAAAGAGTTACCGTTGTCTTGCACAGTGCCCGCGAAAGGCAAGCAATTTTGTAGAAAAACTTAAAAAGCTTAGGATTGGCTGATCAACAAGAAAGGAAATAAGGATTTCCCGGGAAAGGCACAAGAAGTGAAATGCCACCACCTGGAAGTGTTTGAAATAGTGTGTGCAATGGTGTACCCACTACTTCGCGCTATATCCATTTTAATGTGCAGTCTTAGGATTATTAGATCTAGGACCATGTTGTTACACATTGTCTTATCGTAGAACGCTAGAACATAAACTTCTTTTGAGGATAAAGGAAGTACCGGTGTTTGCTAACCCATGTATATTCTCGGTGGCTAAGCTTTGGAGTTATAGCCACACTTGAGCTAACTTTAGATTAAGATCATTTTACGATTCAAAAATTTAGATTGCTCATCATATCTTGAACCAACCCCACTAATGGATTGTGGGGTCTTTGCATTTGCATGTTTTTGCCTCTTGGGAGATATTTTGGTTCCCATTTAGGTTCTTCTCATAACATCAACCAAACCAGTTGACCAACCATGGTTAGGATTTCAGGTGAGAGGTATTCATCACCTCTTTATCTCTCTTTTACTCTTTCCTCTGTTTCTTCAAAGACTAAAAACTCTCTTTTATGTATTTGTTGTTATCTTGTAAGCTGTGTGTTTCTGATTCTATGTAAGAAAACAAAACCTTTCATTTTCCATCCGCGGTGGTTGGAAAATGAAACTGTGATTGCAATATTTTACTTTGATCTGATATAATCCTCTTGTATGAGTTATGACAATCTCTCCTACTATATGAATCCTAATATTATACATAAGAACACAATCATCATATTATACACAAATTAAGGTAAGAACCTGAGACCTATACCTAATATACAATCAACAATGCTGCAGTCTCTGCAACAGAATTGGAGAAGAGAAAAAAAAGCATATGTAAGAATAAATAGATAAATTAAGTGAGAGTAGAACTTGAGGCCATGTTAATCAAGAACGTGTACACTCAATGCCATGACAAATAGCCAACCAAACACCAAGTAGCGTTAAGCAAATAGCTGCATCAATGGCAAGAACAATCTGCACTTGACGCCGCCACTTCCTCTCAATACTCTGAGAGCCACCAGATCGTCCCCTTCTTGAAACATACGTTGCTGCTGCAGATGATGCATTAGAACATTCTGTAACGTTTCCTCTATCATTCGATTTCCGGTGTTCCTCTAACTCAATGCCTCTCAGAGAGTGCACATGATCTCTCCCTTTCTTCTTATCCTGCTTGTTGAATCTGCCTAAAAGTGGAGCGTTCGTGGAATCAGCACCATCAATGGAAGGTGATGATAATGGAAGACAAGTGAGATCAGTCTCAAGTGAAGCTATGAGTCTTCGAACAATTTGGTCTTGAACATTGCTAAAACTGATACTCCCAGAGAAACTTCCTCTTGAATTCTTCTTATTAGCTTTCTTTAACTCATCTCTCAGTTTCTCCAGAAAATCAAGAACGCTAGATCTCTTGACAACATCATCAACAATGGCGAAATAAACGAACCCATCTTCCATCAAGAATCCAAAAGTCCTCTTGCTTATCGTTTCGAAGTACCACTTGTGAAAAGGTGGAGTCTTTTCCAAGCATAACGCTGCAAGACTCTCGTTGTTGCGGGGGTCTCCGGCATTGTTGTAAGAGTACAGAATCTGATTGTCTCTTGAGACACAACAGTAGTGAACTGTGTTTTGGATTGAACCCATGTCGGAACTTTCGATCAGGGGCAGCGATGAGCAAGAGAGTTTCAATGAATATATCAATTATGAAGTCAAGTTTAAGATCCTTATCTTTGTCAAGAAACAACGAAAGGAATCTTGAAAAGGACCAAACAGAAGATGGAATGTTAGAGAAAGAGAAAGTATTAAAGCAGAGAGAGAACAATACAAGCTTCTCTCACCCAACCTTTGACTCTGCTTTATCTTTTTCTCTTTCCTATTACCTTATCCTCTTGTTTTTTGACTTTTTCAGACTATGAAATCGCTAATTCAGGTAAGCTAAGATCAACTCTTTTTGAACCAGTTTTAAAATATATGATTATCTGCTGATTTTGTAGCAGAACAACTCTGTTTTTACGCGCAAATTTCTCTGAGAAGAGGACTTTCTTAAAGAAAATTTGGTAATTTCTCAAAAGTTTCGGTTCGATCACAAACATCCACATATTTGCCTTCCAAAGTGTTTGTTTCTTCTATTGACCAATCTCTCATTTTCACTCCTAGAAAATGCACTAATGTTACAAGTTACAAACGCAAGAAAGCGACAACCTTTACAGGAATATGGCTGAACAAAAGCGGTTAATCTTAACCAGGTCTACAACTACAACAAGCATTCGAAGTCCCGATGCTGTTTTGTTCATCCTCTTGCATTTCCTTAAAGCCCTCTCCATCTTGATCACATTGCTGCTCTTGGCCATCGTTTATGTGGTTTACTGGCTGAGATTCTGGTTGACTTGACACTCCTCTGTGGTTTACTGGCTCAGATTCCGGTTGACTCGACACTCCACTGTGGTTTACTGGCTCAGATTCCAGTTGACTCGACACTTCTCCATCAAGGCTCACAAGACTCGGAACAGGATCCTCTTGGCTTTGATGGGATCGGCTTGGGATAAGTGCGAGACGGCAAAGAGGGCAAGTGGTATGTGATGTGAGCCAAAGATCAATGCAGTCCATGTGAAAAGTGTGTTTACATACCGGGATCTGTTGAAGCTTGTCATTTGCTTGATAGTCCCCAAGGCACACTGAACATCTGTAAATCAAAAGTCCAAATCAGTTTATTCTGATTCTAGTCATCACAAGTTGGACTCTCACCGTCAGAGGATAAGTCCAATAACCTACACTCCCAAATTATGCGGATAACAACTCTTCCAAACTACTACATAAGACACATTGTCGTGAAGCTATACCAAGCATAATCTCCTACAATTATCTGATCATGGATACAACTGTTGTGCCATTACAACCTCCATTTCAATCAAGGCAGACAAGAAATTTTAACCACTAGAGATAAAGATTAGAAACCTCTCATCTTTTTTCACTTCCTTAAATTGTACAACATAGGTCTAATTCATAATTCATGTAACCTAATTGTTTTGAACTTTCATATCACTACACTTATTCCTTTTTACTGCAGCAACCCTTGGAAAAACCTAACTTAGGGTGGTGAATCCTTGAGTAAAGAAAGATCAAATTTTGGAGAGAAAAGAAACTGGAAACTCACTGTGAATCCATTACGGTGAAGCTCTCTCTAAAGACAACAATGGGAAGCATCTCTCTCAGCTCTTTGCTCAATCCTAATTCAATCTGTTCATGTTACAAAACCCACCAATCATTAAACCCTTCAAGAGAAAAAAAGCACAGATCTTTACAAGAAGAAACCCATCAAGGAAGCAAAAACAGAGATTAGAGTGTACCGTGGAGAGAGAGTTTCCGGGGATGAAAGTAGTTCGCATTCCGAGAGAAGACAAATCAGAGCTACTACGACGGAAGTAGATCAAGTAAAACAAGAAGAGAATAATAAATGTGAAGCAAATTGGAACAGAAAAGATAAATGCTTGATAAAGTTTAATCTCCGGCGAGTTCGTTGCAGCTGAATAACTTTCTGGGTTTGAATTACTATAAGACATCACCACACACAAGACACACAGACCCAGTTAGCAAAAGTCACCTCCTTTGAATTAAGAAACCAGAGATCGTCAAGATTCAAGATCGGAGTTATAAAAAAAACAATAATTGAAATAATGTATGTGTGAGAGAGAAAGAGAGATGTGGCAGAGGTTTCAGGTGAAGCATTTAGCTTTCAGTTTAGGGCAACTGTCTGTTTCCTTATTATATAAAAGTTAGGGGCATTAATAATGAATTTGAGAGATTATGAAATGTTAGATAACTTTCCCGTAGATTCTGGCCGAACAAGCAAACAAGAAAACAAGAGGAGGGAAAACGTTATACTTGCACCGATCATAATCTGACAAATCCTTCATTTTTTTTGGCCATCACCACCATGTTGTCAACCTCAAGGTTCTTGATTGTTCTCCTTTGCAACCATATGAAGACACGTACCATATTGCTTTTGTTTTTCTCTAGAATCATCCATAAATAAGAACAAGGACTTGGTTAGTTGGAGGAGTTTATCTTGAAAACATTCATCTGCCTTCTCATTATATATTCAGACACAATATGAGTACATGACTTGTCTTCTATATTTCCCTTTGACAGTTTCCCTCTAAGGCCTAAACTGTTTCAAACACTGTAATTTACAGGGAGGTTTATTGTTACAGATAACTCAAACACGGACCTCAGTATCGATATAGCAGAACATGAGGTCATAGAATCTCCAACGCTCTAGCTTTGTAGAAACCGATAGCTGTTTGATTTTATGCGATCCTCTCTTTTGTAGGTGTCTTTGTGGTTGAATTAACAGAGTTGAATTTGCGGACAAGGATTTTGAAACATGGGAGAAACATGATGTATAGTGCAACGATCACAAATGGAGCCGCTATGAGCCATCCTAGTAGCTGCGAAAATAAGTTCTTGTTTTAGCACGTTATATGAAAAAACTGAACCAACATACTAGAGAAAATCCCACTTGTAAGTTACTGAAGCAAAAGGATCGTAAGAGATTAGGGCAGAAAATGCGAAAAGCAGCTTTGCATCAAATAGAAATTACCAAAATCTACACCACTAAGCCAACACAGAAGAACCTTACCGCATTTCCAATGCTTATAAAAACATCTCGGGAAGCTTGGCCTGTGAAAACCTTCTTTAGAGCATCAGATGTTAAAGGAAAATGAGGTCCACCGGTTATTTTTTCGCCAAGTCGTAAGAAAGGCACAACAAGACTTCAACGTGAAACACATAGCAAAAAAAAAAATATTACACACAAGGACTCAGTTTGATACCGGAAAATGAATAAAACACAGTTTTGTGTTGTCTCTTTGGATTGATTAATGCAGTAACTTTATAAACTTGAACTGGAAAGTAAATGGTTACCTTAGTTCTATTGGAGTAGCAATGAAGTTAGCCAACATCACAGTTGGAGCATGACAAAGAGATCCAAGCGACGCAATAGCCACTCCACATAGCAACACGGTAACACCTATCAAAACACAAAAATATCTCTCTGAGTGAAATGCTTTAGAGATTCAGAAATCACAAAAACTATAATGTTTGATGAGAAACTATTAGACAATCGAAAGTAGTACGAGAATGTACCGCAGATTGGAAATACTCCCATGGTAATACCCAATGCCGCAGAAAAAGCCAGCTGCTTTGGCTCAGCACCTCTAAAGGGAAAACAAATCAATCTTGGTTATACTTTCTTACAACATCCACACTCAAAACATCGAATCTTTACAAGCTACATGGTTACACAACTGTTCAATTTGGTCTAAAACCAACCATAGGTCAGATTTTGCTAACCAAATCAAAACAGTCAAGTTGTTGCACAAGTTATCAACTTTTTTTTGGTTTTCTTCAAGTAATCTACTTTATTCCACAAGAAATATGAAATGGTATCAAACTACATCGATGAACAAGTAACCAACTTTATGATACATAGAGAACGATTCAACACAACAAAATATGAAGACAGTCACAGAATAAAGAACCTGCGCAAGATCTGGACAAGTGGTTCACTGATCTTCTTATCGAACCAAGCTTTCAATCTACCTTTCGAAATCGCCATAAGAATTCTTCAAAAAGTTGATGAATTTCTCAGCAAGTTAACAAATTTAGAGACGAAAAGCACTTCCAACAAGTAATTGAATGGAATTTGGATGATTGTTCACTGAAGAAACCTGAAGAACTCAAATCAGCTTGACTCTTCTTATCTCCCTCACCGCTCCAGGCTCCACGGAACCCGAGTCGGGTTCGGGTAAACGGGTCAAAACAATTTTAATGGGCTTTTGTGATGTTTTTTTATTGGGCTTTATAAAGTCCATATCACTAAACCGGGTCAACCCGGTCGTAATTTCCTCCTCCTAGATGCTACTATTTTCGTTTCCCCGCTAGTTTCAAAATTTTGTTGCCTTTTCGAATTTTCTCTGAAGGTGAGAGCTCGCGTAAAGCTTTTTCTGCGATCTTCAAATTCATATGAAGATATGATTCAAAATCTTCTGGAAATTTCATATGTTCCTCCGATTTGATACGTACTTGATTGATTAGGTTTGAATTGGAGAAATCGGAGAAGTGAAGAAGAAGAAGAAGAGATGGAGGAGTATCTACAGTATATGAAGACTCTCCGTTCTCAAATGACTGGTAATAATCTTCATCTTCATCTTCGATTCTGAATTTTCCGATTTGAGCTGAATTTTCATCTGGCGATTGGATTCGATTGAGGTTAGATGTGGAGGATCATGCGGCGAAGGTCTCCGTCGAGGAACAGATGCAGGTTACAACAATCAGTACGTTGGAGAAAGATCTCGAACACGGTTAGTTTCTCTCTATCGCTCTCAGCAATTTCGGATTTAGAAAGTTTTCGTTGATCTGGACGAACAATTTAGGATGATCGTACGGAAGATTTTAGGTCGTGATCTTCGTTGAATTTAGGCTATTTGGAAATCCATTGATGTGTTTGATCAGATTTGGATTTTTGTTTTGTGAATGTTGGTTGATTTGGCTGTTTTGTGATCAACTATTGAGTATTAGAGTAGCAGTCATTTGTTCAAGTTAGTTCAACTCTGGATACGCACTTTGTACACAGCTTTATATGCACTTTTTTTGATGAGATGTTATGTGATTTTTCCTAATTTTGGGATCACTCTATTTGAAGCATTGTCTGAGACGAAGAGACTTAAAGAGGAAACAGATCAGAAGACGAGGAAGAAAGGCGAAATATGCTCACATATACTTGAGAAGCAGAGAAAAATTTCGTCCATGGAATCTGATTCAGCAAATCTTGCACAGGTAATTAAACTCTTATATAAGCCATGAATATGCCTTGTAGAAGTAGAAAGATGAAACTATATACAGGTCTAATTATGCTTTAGTTTGTTACACTGTAATCTGCTACACAGTTTGTTCATTTTGTGTGCTGCTTACACTGAGTGAACTGTTATCCTGTGTTGTAGAGTCTGGAGCTTATTCTTCAAGAGCGAGACAGTTTATCTGCAAAACTTGTGTTGAAACGGTAATCCAAAGAACAACTCGCTAGAACTGGATTGCTGTTCTGGAATCACCTGACTGCTGTCAATTTAATTGTTTATAATTGCAGTACTAACTATGTCAAGACGGCAGAAGAAGCTAGAACCAAACTAGAGGAGCAAAAGGTTTGTTATTTGCATATCCTGTTCATGTGATTCCATTTGCTGTTTACCAACGCAGTTATCTTTCTGATGTCCTATTTTGGCCAGGGCTGGTTTATCTCCCATATGAGCAATGAAACTGGTCAACAAGGACAGGTTCGTTCTCCTTATGAATCCTTAAATGCTTATTTCATTACAAGACACTTTCAATATTTTCATAGTAACTGAGGTTAGGATTTCTTATCCCTTTCTTGTCAATCCTTGATACTTCAGAAAATAGAGACAAGGAATAACCTGATGGAACTATCAGATTCTGCTAGAGCAAAGCTTGATCAAGCAAAACAGATTAGAGCCAACCTTCTTCAGGAAATCTCGAAGGTTATTTACTTGAGATCCACTTTTTACTATTGGTGGTTTTGGTTGTTGCACTTTGTATTTGTGATATGTGTTGTGTTGTTTCACATTTGTAATTCCTTAAATAAGAAGAAAAACAATTTTGAGTACACAGATTTGAATTTTTGAGCTTCTTTCTGAATTCTATATTTTCATTTCAGATCAAGCTATCAATTGAGAATGTGAAGCACAAGATTAATGAGTTTAAGGTAATTAATTACTCTCTGTAATGTTTGCTAGCATGATGTTGCTTGAGTTCAGTCATGTAAGATTTTGTCCTGCACCTGGTACTGTACTATTTTCTGAATTCGTCAACAATGCAGCCAGAGTTAATGTCAGTAGATATTAAGATCCTAGAAGAGGAATACACAGCTCTCTTGTCAGATGAGTCTGGAGAGGCAGAGTATCTCAGTTCGCTGCAGAGTCAGGCTGAGAAACTGAAGGTGATTAGGTGACATTGATTTATATAGGCTTTATTTGATTACCAACTATAATATCATGACCGCCTCCACTTGTTGCAGGGAATTTCTTACATTGCTAAATGTGGTTGTGGAGAAGAATACAGTGTTGGTCTTGATTAGGCCAAAGTTAAGCATCCGTCAAACTATTATATCAATATGTGAACAAATCAAGAACCAAAAGTTATGTGCTAGTTATTTTGAATCTGTGGGTTAATTGTTTTTAGTTTGAAGAGAGATACAACTATCATGCTGTCTTGTTGCAGTATATAATGTTTTACAGTTTCAGCCTTTCAGGTTCTCTATATGCATGAGAATATCATTTGGCCTTAAATTGATGAGGCGTGTGCAAATACAACGTTGTATCTTAAGCCTTTCATTAGATGCGTTAGACTATTCACAGCCTAGTGAGAACTGTAGATATAATGTTGAGATTGGATGTTGAGTGTGTGTTACGATTTAAAGCAGAAGTAATCTTATTCCTCAGCTAGCTATTTCTAATGTAATTGTATCACCATGTAAGCTTATAACAGATACCATTATATATGATCTAAATATGCGCTCATCTTCTTGTGTAAAATTCATCTATGATTATACTTCGGACCACAAAGGTTACAAATGGAACGCATTAAATAGTGCAATACCACGAGCTCTTATAAATGGTACAGTGAGGGCATAAAGAATCAACGAGAGACTGACAATTATGACAGCAGCACATAACAGAAGAAAATTCAAGCTCGTATAGTTTACACGAAGTATCGGCGAAGACATGTGTGAAGTTTTTCCTTGCCATAATGCTCAACTCATACTTGCAAGGAAATCCCTTATCCCTTAATTGAGAAGCATTTTTTAAAAATAACCTTATCTTTGTGATTAACAAAAATGTCATGCTGACGTATAGTTCTCATAGAGCTTTTCAATCCATTTAATTAAAAACCCAATATTTATTAAGATATTTACATATTTTGCCATTAGTTTTACTTATATTTATTTTTTCCACTTAATTTATGTTTTTTTATTTTACTCAATTAATTAAAACGAAAATACAATTACAATATGAAATTAAGATATAAAAATCTATACATAATAGAGTACCTAATATTTTTTATATTGATTAATATACCAAGATATATATCATAAATAATGATAAACATATACATTAATATATAAATGAAAATTTCACTAATCTTGATAATCATTAATACACCACCGTTTATCTAATAATATAAAAAGAGAAATTGTTAAAAATGCCCTTTTTTCAATACCCCTTTTCAAAAATGCCCCCTTTGAGAGTCCATTTTTAAATTTGCCCTCTTTTAATTTTTAATGACCATTTTACCCTTATTTGAAACAAAATTAGGTCCACAAAATACAAAATATTTTTTGGCGGGAAAAGTGATCCCGCAATTTTCCCGCCAAAACACTTGTAAAAACCTTTAAAATACCTTGTAAAATTTTCCCGTAAAAATTTTTCACGCCAAAAAATTTTCCCGCCAAAAAAATATTTTTGCAAGGAAAATTTTACAAGGTATTTTAAAGGTTTTACAAGTTTTTACAAGTGTTTTGGCGGGAAAAATTGCGGGATCACTTTTCCCGCCAAAAAATATTTTGTATTTTGTGGACCTAATTTTGTTATATTTCCTTATATATTTGTGATATCTTTTATTAAAAGAAGGGTAATTTAGTCATTTTGTACATAAAAAGGAGTATTTTTAAAAATGGACAGCCAAAGGGGGCATTTTTGAAAAGGGGTATTGAAAAAGTGGCATTTTTGTGAGTTTCCCATATAAAAATTAAACACCTTCAATATCATCAATACATTCAAATTGGTTAATAATCGTTTTGTTCCGCACATAGTGCGGGTTGTTATCTAGTTGTTTTTTAAAAAGGCAGCATTATTGGCATTTAAAAAAAACAAGAAATTAAAAATGGTGGAATCCTATACTATTATTTGGGGAGTACACTTTATAAGATACCCTTAACTAACCTTCCCTTTTGTAAAAATTTACTTAAGAATGCCATTACAAAAATCTTTTTTTAGAACAAATTTCATTCAATTTATTAAGGATAAACAAGTAAAATACTAATTTATGTCATTTAATTAATTTAATTAAATTATAAAACGAAAATCTGTTATTTTTTTTTTTAAATGACCAATCAAAATGAACATATAAGATTTGATATCTAACTTACCATATTAATTTGTTATTAATCATTAAACTTCACCTCTCATCTTAATATGATTATATTAATATCAAACAAATAAATCATCATATCATCTACATAATAAAAGAAAAAAACATTTTTTTTCTGCATATGCCAAGATTTGAATTTTTAAAAACGCATATAAATTGTTCAATCTATAAAGGAAACAATTAAACGGGTCAAAAATTCAGACTTGAGTAATATATTTCTTTTACACAAAAATAAAGTCAACAAAAATTCCGACTGAGCAACGGGTCAGAATTTGAATATTTATATTCGATTTCATGCATTTATTTTTTTGAAATGTGTAATTTTATATACTACAATAAAAATTTAAATATTTTAATTTGCAACATTTAAAATAAGTTTTACTTGATATTTTTAGAGAATATCATCAATACTTAATAGTTCAAAAAGTTAAAAATTATAAATACTCTAATTTGATTATTTTTAAAAATATTTATAATAGGTAGCGGGTTAAATATATTATATTATATGATAAAATGAGTTTCGATCCTTGAATAGTTATATTTAATTTCATATAATTTGTTTTTTGAAATTCATAATTTTATAAACTACAAAAAAAATTTAAAGATTTTAATTTGGAATATTTAAAAATAGTGTAGAACATTTAAATATGGTTTGACACCTCTAAATATTTGAAAATTTGATTCCGCAAGCAATTTTAGAATTAACGAATAAGAGATTGTGCACGCAATATTTTAAAATGAAATATTGAGATTCTAAAATAAAAATATAGACTCCACGCACGGGTTGATTTTGGTATTATTATATACTAAATATATGTTTATAACATATTCGATTATGCGAATAATTGGTAAATTCCGTAAATATAAATCTCAAACAAATTCGGTAATTAGATTAGCTCAAACAAATCTCTATTTCAACAACCAAAGAATTATAAATTGAAAAAGAATTTTCTAAATTAATTCAAAATAATAGCTAATTTTCTTAATTAATTCAAAATAATCTATGTTTTATATGCGATTCATTTATGATATTTTAATTTTTGATCTAACTGAAATATATGCAATCCTATTTTGTGGTTGTTAACATAAATTAACTCATTGTTCAAAAAATATTAATTTTTAAAAAATAAAATTATTTTCCGTTTTCATATCTTAAAAAAAAAAATATCCATAATTGAGTATTATAGAAAAAATTCTATATTTATTCTAATATTGTATATAGGGACTGACAAAAAAATTAATACTTTTTCACTTACTATTATAATATATTAAAACTTAGTTCTAATATATATATTATATAAATTTTGTAATAAATAAAATTTAACCCGTACTTTAGTACGGGTGATGATCTAGTCTATATTATTAATTGGGAATCACTAAAAACTAAAAAACCTTTTAGTTGTAGAATATTACATAGAATACCATTAAGATAATTGCATTCAAAAAATTAACAAAAAAAATCGTAAGAAGGTACAAAATAATTTGAAAGTAGTATATTCCATTGACACAATCAAAACTAATATTTCATATGTATATATATATATATATTTTTCGGAAATATAGGAGAATATTCCAATACAAAAATCAATATAATTAACAAATTTTCCATAACTAAACGGATTAATATTATAACTATTTCAAAACTATGTAAAATCTATAATTATGCCCATTAAATTAAAATAATTTAAAGATATTTGAATTTCTATTTTTAATAATATTATTGTATTAAAATGACATTGTTTTAGTATGCTTTACGTTTTGTGCCATCACCAACAATTGTTTCTCAAATTAAATTCTATTTTCGTACAAAACACTTATAAATTAGAATTTGATTAGTATGGAAATAAATAAGTAAAACATTTAAAAGTTATATTATAAATACTTTTAATTGAATGAAAATCTAAAATATTTTAGTTTGATCAAATAAATAAATAAATTATAAAATTAAAATATCAGAAATATTAATGTAGCTTAGGTAAATGTGGACCGTTGGATGAATCAACTAGCAAAATAAATGAATAGCTAGACCGTATTAAACCAAGAGAATCAGGAAAAAATGAATTTAGTTACCATAATTAATAATATACACCAAACCAAATTTTAGAAGTATCGGGATATATCGCATAGGGACGAGACATGATAAAATTGTCACGGACATGGCTCAGCCTCCCACGACTCAGCCTCGGGAGCTTAGTTAGGAGGGTACATATCTTTACTTTATCTATTTTGTTCTTAGATGTTGATGGTTATTGTTTTACTTTGTTGACAAATTTGTGTTTCTACTTTGCACAGAAACACAACAAGAATATTTCTAAGAACTTGGCTTATCGTTCGGTGGAAGAGGAGGGTAAGGATTTTTTCTAGATATTAAAATTGAATCTTTATTGTTGGTAGGGGTGTCAAAATGGGTCAAGATTAATGAGTCAACTCAACTCAACTCAACCCATGAACCCTAATGAGTTGAAAATTTTGACTCAAATGAGTTGATGGATCAAATGAGTTATTGAGTCAAATGGGTTGATGGATGAAATGAGTTGGGTTGTAATGGGTCAATGGTTTCAATGGTTTGCCCATTTAACCCACCAATTTTTGTTAAATTGAATTAAACCAACACAATTTCTTAAACCAATCAGATAATCAATTTGAACCGAAACCTCTAAACCGAGAGATCAATTTGTCGCATCTCTTCGATACGGATACAGTAAACCTCTCCGAAACTCTCTCTCTCTCCGTTCTCCTCGTTCTCTCTATCAGAAGGGCCGCCGTCTTCTAATTCTTCGATCAGAAGGGCCACCGTCTTCTAGTTCTCCGATCAAAAGGGCCACCGTCTTCTGCTAATCCGGCGAATCTAACGGCGAGAGCATCTCCGGTAACTTATCTTTCTCTCCTCCCTCTCTCTTTTGTATTTCAAATCGCAGCTCTGTATATCACCAGATTCGTCATTTTTGATTTGTGCAGCTTGTGGAATAAGATGATTCACTACTGATTTGTGCTCCATATACAAATTTTGTTTTCCGGCTCACTACTTTTTCAAATAAGATGATTGCTCAATGAGTTCACCTGGAAATTCTAGATGTTAAGCTAAACCTGAATATGTGAATGAGTATTAGCTTGTTATTCAGTACGTTGTTGCAATTTCATGAGCTTAATTTTGAGTATTTTTGAGTTTGTCTGGAAATGAGATTGTCTCTGTTCCTAGCTCATTGAATCTTGATGTAACTTCTTGAGTCTAAGAATCTTTGTATATGAATTTTGATTGAGGCTTAGAAGGAAGTGCAAATTCTACTAATGATGTCTTCTGGTATGGTGTGTCTTGTAAAAAGTTTGGCTTGTAGTAGGTTTTTTGTTTTGAACCATATCATAGTATCAATAGTATAAGCTTTCAATGACTGCATTAGACAAGCTTAGGAGGCATGAATACGTTTTTACTTTGTTACAGATTAATGTGTTAGATTCTCTGGCTATTTGCAGCTGACTTTATACCAAAATAATGAAAACTAGGACCTGCTCAGATCACTGTAGAGCTTTATAGTAGTATTGCAATTGGTTCTTGTTGATTAATGTGTTAGATTCTCTGGCTATTTGCAGCTGACTTTATACCAAAATGGACAATGAAGACGAATTTCCTCATGGTGGTGATGGTGGACAAACATCAGCGGATACATCACAATCTAAAAGTCTAGTAAGTGTTTCTCGTTCTGTTAAAAGAAGTAGGACATCAGATATATGGAATCACTTTACGCTAGAAGAAGATGAGAATAGTGATAAGAGAGCATATTGTAAGAAATGCCCAAAGCAGTACTTGATGTTGCCAACTACTGGAACATCAAATCTGATTCGTCATCATGGGAAATGCTCAATGGGTGTAGATGTTGAAAGAAAGACAGTGAAGATTGATCATAAAGTTGCTAGGGAAAAGTTTAGTCGAGTGATCATTCGACATGATCTTCCTTTTCTTTGTGTCGAATATGAAGAGCTCAGGGATTTCATTAGTTATATGAATCCAGATTATGATGAGCTGTTTTGGATTTCTTTGTGTAATTCTTGCAATGGGGGCTGTTTTGGATCCTAGAATGAAATTCAAACTTCTAAAGCGATGTTATGATGAGCTTGATCCAACCACTTCACAAGCAAAAATAGATTTCCTCGAGGATCAGCTTATTATGCTTTTTGGAGAATATAGGAAAGCATTTCCTTTGACTCCTGTTGTGAGTTCTACAAGAGCAGGTTCTGGTGTTTCAGGACGAGGACGTGAGAACTTGGACGTGCTAGATGTAAGTTTTGATTAATGATTTAACTTATTCTTACTCTTGTTTTGGTAGCTATTATTGGTTTAACTGAATCCATTTAGGACCATTGTCACTTGCCATGTCTTGTCATCTGCCATGTTTTTGTGACACACGTTTACCTGTTCTATTGATTATACTGTCAGTGGTCACACTTTATTTGTTAACGTTGGTGAGTTAATTTTTTTCTTTTGCTTAGAGTTAGACTTACACTAGGAACTAGTATATTATACTTGTGAATCACTGAATTTTTATCTAGACAAGTTATGAAACAGGATTTGTTTGACTTAGATGATGTTCCAGAAGTTGAAGAAACAAAGTCAGCATTGGATATGTATTTGGAGGACCCAAAATTAGAGATGGAAAATCATCCTAATTTGAATGTTTTGCAATATTGGAAAGAGAACAGACATCGTTTTGGTGCGTTGGCATACATGGCAATGGACGTGCTTAGCATTCCCATTACAAGTGTGGCTTCTGAATCTTCTTTCAGCATTGGGTCTCACGTTATAAATAAATATCGAAGTCGTCTTCTTCCTAGCAATGTCCAAGCTCTATTGTGTACTCGTTCTTGGCTATATGGTTTTGTGATTGATGATGAAGGTATGATACTATTTCTATAGTAAATTAATAATTGATTTCAGTTCTATCATCTGATTTGTATTTTTGTTGGTTATGAATTGTAGATGACAAGGGAGAGACGGTTGTTATTCGATCAGATCCAGCTTCTAGAGGAAAAGAACATGAATGATGATGCTTCATAGAGGAGATTGAAGTGGAAGCTTTGAACCAGAAGAAACTCAGAAAATTATATGATTGGTGTGACGAAGTTGAAGTGTAGACGTACATGAAACAGGAGGAGGAGCTACGACTACGTTTATTAAGTGGAGCTACTAGGACTCATATCTCTCTACTTTTAAGACATGCAAATGAAGTTACTAAGCTCTCTGCTTTTATTATGTCATGACCAAATTGGGACTCATATCTCTCTACTTATTATGTAATTTTTCAAGAAGAGATTTTATTGCCTCCAAAAATATATTGGAATGAATTGAGAAAACAAGGCAAATCCATTAATTAACATGTTGTTTCTTCACAAAATTACATATTCTGTTTTACTTTTTGTTATAAAATATAAAATACCAAATTTGAGAGTTGTAAGTAAATTTATGAAAATTTATTTAAATTTAACTAAATAAAACAAAGTTATTACTTCATAAAATTTAATTAATTAAATAGTTTTCTAATTAATTAAATACTTTTTATTTTCATGGGTCAACCCATTTAACCATTCAACCCATCAAGTTAAATGAGTTCATGAGTTGACCCAACCTATTTAACCAATTGAGTTGGGTCAACTCATGAACTCATTTAACTCTAAACTCATTGGGTAATGAGTTGAGTTGAGTTGGGTTAACCATTTTGACACCCCTAATTGTTGGTTTGTGTGATTGAATTTGGAAAAGAATTAAAACATAAACTAATAGTTTTGTTGTTGTCGTTTTCTACTTTCTTTCTATGTATTGCTGCAAAGATAGGTGTGACGGACTGCCTTGTTGAGGCTATTCACAACTTGGCTGATGGTATTGTTGATGAGGAGTGTGTTAAATTTGTCCGGACATGGCTCAAACTCCCACAACTCAGCCTCGAGAGCTTAGTGAGGAGGGTACAAATCTTTATTTTATCTATCTTATTCTTAGTTGTTAATTAATTATTATTGTTTTACTTTATTGACAAATTTGTTTTTCTACTTTGTAGAAAAATGCAACATAAAAAAATATTGCTAAGAACTTGGTTTATTGTTCAGTAGAAGAGGATGGTGATGATTTTTTCTGGAAATTAAAAATGAATGATCTAAAGTTTTGGTTTGTGTGATTGAATTTGAAAAATAATTAAAACACAGACTAACAATCTTGTTGCTTTTTTCTACTTTATTTTTAGGTAATGTTGCAAAGGTTGGTGTTAAGGACTGTCTTGTTGGAATTATTAGGGAAATGAACAGTAATTTATAATTTCTTAGTATGTTTTGTGTGATTGGAAGTGGAATAAAAACTAATAATTTTGTGTTGTTTTCTAGGGTGAATCATCAAAAGGATGGAGACGTTGTGTTTTTTTTTTCTTCTTAAATGAAATAAAATGCAAACCAAAGAAAAAACAAGTGATTGTTAACTTCAAAGACTTTTAAAAGAAATTCGACACTCAAATCAATTAATTAGCTATGGCTCCAACTGGTAACACGAGTTGTCATAATTGAGTTGCAGTAGATGTTAACATTTGATGTAACTTTCAGTAAAAATTATGTGGTATAATTGTAGATTGATATAATGAATTTGCTGTGAAAATATGAATTAACATTTTTTTTAAATAACTGACTTGTAACGTTAATAATATATCAGTTACAATATATGTTATTAAAATAAATTAAATATAAATTTTCTAATAAAAACATTCTTTTACAAATTAAATAAATAAAAGTAGAATAAATAAAATGACAATATCTTAAATAATAATAAAAATATTTTATGACATAATATTAAAAATATGCTTATATTTAAGAATGAGCTCTAGGTACCTATATGGCTATATAAAGCTATAATTTTGTGTATGTTTCAATAAATATATAAAAATAAAATCGAATAAATTCAAAAATAATTATAACAAAAACAACTTTTACTAAGTTAAGAAAATATTTTGACTAAGTTGTTGACAGGATGCTTAGCATCATTATTAGAAATAGATAAAAAGTAATAAAAACAAAAATCTGTCGGGTAAACAACTAAAAATAGAGACAAAAAAGTAAAAAATTAATAAGTTAACTCTACGACATGAGATTTTCCATCATATTGAATAATATTTTGAGTTAACAATTTTCCATAAGACATAACTCAAAATTGTAAATCAACCATAACACATTGTGATCCAAACTAACCTTAAAAATTTTAGTTTATGATTGATAACATTTTTGAGTTATCTATGAGTTATGTCCATAACTCTAACTTCACAATTTTATTGATAATAGACTTTCCTTCAGCTTCAGCCCATTAGCACTCTAAATATTTAACTTATATCTACGGGGACCCGAGTCTCCGACAAATTCAGCCTTGTGACATTTCCGTTTCTTTCAAGTCCAAGCACAAAGCCACAGTGACCACCGACGGGAATAACGCTGCGGCTGACGGCAACAGTTGGGAGTTCGTCAACGAATTCAATCCTTCGAAAACCCTAGCTGATCCTTCAAATTTGAACTTAAAAAATTTATGCCAAGAAGCACACATACAAGAAGAAAATCCAAGCTTGGTTTGTTTAAAAGCTTGCAAATTACACATGCGAAACTATTGGTGTATCCAAAAGCCTGCTCAACTCATACTTGCAACTTTGCAAGGAAACTAAAAAGAAAAAGTATAACTATTGGCATTTGATTCAGAATTCTACCCACTTCGCATACAAGTTCACATGCATAGTACATCAATTACAAGGAATCATAAATGGAAATAACCAACTTATCCAAAGCTCTCCCCAACTTGAATATGCAAGAACATTATGACAGAAGCACATAAAAGAGAAGAAAAATAAAGCCTGTTCAGTTTTAAAAGGTTGCAGATTACACATACGAAACTCCAAAAACGCCTAGTATACTCAAACTTGCAAGGAAACTAAGAAGGAAATGAGGTAGTTGCACCACCTGAAACTTAGTAGCTTCAGTTTAACAGAGAGTTTTAGTATTCAATATCATCCATATCACCCATGTACTCAGCAACTTGGTCAAGTCTAACATCAAGCATCTTGTGGTTGTCTAAATCACGAACCACACCAGTTTCTTTATCCAAATCTTTCTCAACAAGATTTCCATAAACACCCTTATGCTTCCCCGATAAAACCAAAACCGGCCCTCCTCGTCTAGGCAATGCAGTCTCAAGCAACTCCTGATCCACCCCTTGAACCAACTCTTGTGTCTCATCCATCGTGATATCACAAGTCGTTGGTCCAACAACATCAACAACCTTTCCTTTCTTAAGATACAATCTCCCACCTTTCAAATCCTTACTCACTATCCGCACCTTTATATGACTCCTAAGCCATGAGGGCTTCACTTTCCTCTCTCTCGTTTGAACTCTATCGTGCTTCTCACTGACTCTAACTTCACTTCGACTCCCTCTCTCTGTTCCTCTACCTCCTCTACTATCTTTCTTATCCTTCTCCTTATCATTTAATTGCAAATCTTTCAACTTCTTTAAACACTTTTCTTCTTCCTTAGAACCCAAATCAGCAACCTCATTCACACCCACTTTCACTTCCTCTTCACTTCCAGAGATCTTCATAACAAAGAAATCACTACCCAGTTTCTCCACAATCTTACCCTTTAATCCTACATGTCTCCCTGCAATAATCCTCACTTCTTTCCCAACAAAAAACACATCCCCACCATCAACACCCACTCCCTTCTTATCAAGTTTCACACTTTCCTTCACTTTAACCTTCGCATCCACAACCTTAGATCTATCAGGATCAAAACCTAATCCTTCCTTAGCAGTCCACTTTTTATATTCCTTAATCTCAACATCTTCTTTAGCATTCTTACCTATTCCCTTACCTGGCTTCCATCCATATCCAGCCATCAACGCAGCACCAAAACCTTCCACAGGAACACTCTCAAAATCCTCCAAAGTCGGATCATCAGCAAGTGACTGCAGATCTTTCCTCAAACTTTGTAACATAAGCTGCTCCCCCATAGATACCTTCCGATCTTCAATCGCATCACCACCAATTGAATCCTCCTTCACTTTCTGACGCAGATTCAATCCATATGTGATGTTATCAGGTCTCTCATGACCAGGTAAAGGAACCTCAGGCTCGAATTCGAGACCGGAGCCTGTGTTACCGGATTGGAGCGGTAGATCGAGATTCTTCATCTTCTTGTGAGGTCTCCATGTATTCTCAATCGGAGGAATAACGTATTTGGGAATGGAATTAGATAGGGTTTTTGATGGATCGAATTCGGTGACGAACTCTTTACTAGTTCCGTCATCAACGGCGTTGTTAGCGTCGGTGGTTGCTGTGACTTTGGGCTTGGATTTAGAAGGGAGAGAGAAAGAGAGCTTCATGATGAACAAAACTGAAACGTCGCGAAGACGGTGAGAATCGCAAGGTTAAACTCGCCGGAGATTCGGTGCCTGTAGATATATTTAAAGAAGATGGGCCTTTAAAATAATGAGTGGGCCAATGGGCTACATAGAAGAAAGTCCATTGTTAATTAATGGAAATTTTCTTTTTCCTCAAGCCACAGTGCTGCAGCTGCATGCCCCAGTTCCTCTGTAATATATCGTTTTAACTAAATTCCCCCTATATTTTTACACTCTACCTATTTCCCCCTATACACACTATACACTTCACAATTCCACCCAATTTTATACAATTACTCCCAATTCACCAAAATCAATTATGCTGCCTAAATGTGTTTTAAAATCATAAAATAACGTATTAAAATTGATAATCTGCGATTAAACCGGTAATCTGATCCATGTCTCATAACCAGAATTGAACTTTCTGTTTGATAGAGAGGGTTCGATTTTGACTTAAAAATCAAAAGGGGAAAAAATTTTTAATTAGGATTTTGAGTTCTTCTTCTTCTCCATCGATACCCGACACTCTTTTCTTCAACTTCTACTTCGGATTTTGCTTCATCTCTTTAGATTGTCCAATTCTTCTTGTTATTCTTCTTCTTCTGCTTCTGTTTCGTCATCTCTGGTGTTGATTGGGTCGTCGTCTCTGGAGAAGCTGAAGCATGGTTGGGTCGAAATCACGCATCACCCACACAAAGATGTCGTAAGTTATGATATTTATTTTAAAGAACCTGTTATCGTAGTTGGATTTGTTTGAATTCGTCCGGAATTGTTTGGATTTGTTAATTGTGATAGTGAGAAAGAGATGTATGACGATGATGTTTTATTTTGTACAATTGTAGTGACGATGATGTCGAGCACAATAGGGGTAATGAATCAGAGAATGCGAGTGAGAGTGAAGAGCAGATTGTAGAAGCTGTGAGGAGGAGGAGGAGGAAGAAGAAGTAACCAATTTCGAAGATGAGGCACAAATTCAATAAGAGAATTTCAACGGCAAGATGGGACTGTGATATCCAATGAAGGAGAGATAAAAACAGAGGCTGAACGTTTCTTCCGAGAATTCCTGCAACTTATTCCAAATGATTTTGAAGGTGTTACGGTAGAGGAGTTACAAACCTTAATGCCCTTTCGTTGCTCTGCACAAGACAAAGTGCTGCTCACCGAAGCTGTCACCACAGAGGAGATTAAGCGAGTCTTATTCTCCATGCCGAATGATAAATCGCCGGGACCGGATGGTTTCACATCTGAATTCTACAAGAGGACATGGGACATTATTGGCTCGGAGTTTGTTTTAGCAGTGCAATCTTTTTTTGAGAAAGGTTTTCTTCCAAAGGGGGTTAACTCTACAATTCTAGCACTTATTCCGAAGAAAACGGAGGCGAAAGAGATGAAAGATTACAGGCCGATTTCGTGCTGCAATGTCATATATAAAGTCATCTCAAAAATTATCGCTAATAGGCTCAAATTAATTCTCCCGAAGTTCATTGCAGGTAATCAATCGGCTTTTGTGAAGGATCGGTTATTGATCGAGAATCTGCTGCTTGCTACAGAATTAGTCAAGGATTACCACAAAGACACGATCTCAGGTCGATGCGCTATAAAAATAGACATTTCAAAGGCGTTTGATTCCGTACAATGGCCATTCCTCCAGAATCTCCTCATGGCCCTGGATTTCCCTCCAAGTTACGTCCACTGGATCATGCTCTGTGTGACTACAGCTTCATTCTCAGTCCAGGTAAATGGTGAATTAGTTGGATTCTTTAACAGTTTAAGAGGTTTACGGCAGGGTTGCTCCCTTTCTCCTTATCTTTTTGTCATGAGTATGGATGTCCTATCCAAAATGTTAGACAAAGCAGCTGGATTAAATCACTTTGGCTACCATCCACGCTGCAAGAATATTGGATTGACACACTTGAGTTTTGCTGATGATTTGATGGTCCTCTCCGATGGTAAAGTCCGGTCCATAGAGGGCATTGTCACAGTTTTTGATGCTTTCGCGAAGCGCTCTGGTCTAAAGATTAGTATGGAGAAGTCGACAATTTACTTAGCAGGAAATCCAGTCCCATCTCATCAGGAGATACAAGATCGATTCAGTTTCAATGTTGGCCAGCTCCCAATCCGCTATCTTGGTCTACCACTGGTTACAAAACGTTTCTCTTCAAACGACTACCTCCCATTAATTGAACAGCTCAAGAAAAGAATAGCATCGTGGACCTCTAGATTTCTCTCTTTTGCAGGCCGCCTCAACTTGATTAGTTCGGTCTTATGGAGCATTTGCAATTTCTGGTTAGCCGCATTCAGATTACCGAGAGAATGTATACGTGAGATTGATAGACTTTGTTCTGCTTTCCTCTGGTCTGGTCCAGACTTGAAACCGCACAAAGCAAAGATTTCATGGGATGTAATCTGCAAGCCGAAGAAGGAAGGTGGTTTGGGATTAAGATCTCTAAAGGAGGCGAACGATGTATGTTGTTTAAAACTAATTTGGCGACTGGTCTCACACAAAGACTCGCTGTGGGTCAAATGGGTGAAGATGTACTTACTTAAACGGGACAATTTCTGGTCGCTAAAAGAGACCACTAGTCTTGGCTCGTGGATGTGGAGAAAGTTAATCAAATTCAGGGCACTAGCTAAGTCGTTTTGTAAGGTGGAGATTCAGAACGGTCAGAACACGTCTTTTTGGTTTGATGACTGGTCACGCATGGGCAGAATGATGGATGTTCTTGGAAACAGAGGTTGTGTTGATATGGGAATAAGTAGGCACATGTCAGTCGCAGAGGCATGGGACCGTAGGCGCCGGAGAAGGCATAGAACAGGGGTTCTGAACTTGATGGAGGAGGCCCTGGACTCAACAAGACAGACCCGTAACTCGGCACAAGATGTGGTTTTGTGGAGGGGAAAAGACGACGTCTACAAACCAAGCTTCTCCACCAAAGATACTTGGAATCATATTCGTACTACGGCAACAACGGTTACCTGGCACAATGGGGTCTGGTTTCCTCACGCAACCCCTAAGTTTTCATTCTGCGTTTGGTTAGCGGTACATAATAGACTCTCTATGGGAGACCGTATGTTACAGTGGAACAATGGAGCTCTCGGGACATGTGTTCTCTGTAATAATGCGATCGAATCTCGGGACCATCTGTTTTTCTCTTGTGTTTTTTGCTCTGAAGTTTGGTCAGCTGTGGCTAAAAACATCTTCAAAGCAAACTACTCGACGGATTGGCACACTATACTCAACTTGATCTGCGGCAAATGGCAAAACCGGACCGAAAGCTTCACGGCTAGGTATGCATTTCAAACAGTGGTTTCAGTTATATGGCGGGAGAGGAACAAGCGGCGCCATGGCGAATCACCGAACTCAGCAAGTCGACTCACTGATTGGATTGATAAGCAAATAAGGAACAGATTCTCGGCAATCCGGCTCATTGGAGATCGACGCTATGATAAAGGATTACAAGCTTGGTTTGACACTCGAAATTAAGTTTTAAATTCTATATTCAACTCAAAACATTCAATCTCTCGTAGCACTCGTTGTACAAACGTTATTTTCTTTTGAATATAATTTAACATTATTTTCAAAAAAAAAAAAAAAAGAAGATGAGGCACAAATTGGCCGAGATATCAATTTTAAAACGCGATTTTATGATTTTAATACGCATTTGGGCAGCATAATTGATTTTGGTGAATTGGGTGGAATTGTATAAAATTGGGTGGAATTGTGAAGAGTATAGTGTGTATAGGGAGAAATAGGTAGAGGGTGAAAGTATAGGGAAAACCTAGTTGAAACGATATATTACAGGGGGACTGGGGCAGGCAGCCCTTTTATCAAATTATCTGAAAGAAATTCTTCTCTAGAAAAATCAAGTTAGGAACCGACATGTTTACAAGAAGAAAAGGATACCACGGGTTCGTGTCTTCTGTTAATTAATGGCACAAAGATCAAAAAGTTCAAATTTTGGCCGTGTTTTTTTCTTTGTCGCTGAACTAGCGGCAGCGACAAAAAAAAAATAAAAGGCCCAAAGGCTTTACTTTAAAGAATAGGTCCATATAGAGAAAACTAGCGACAACTTTAGTTTTATAAAAGACAAAAACGATCGGAGATGAAGTCGCTGGAAAAACCAGCGTTCACTGGCGACACCACGTTTTCCAAAATTAATGCCGTAGCCTTTTTTAATCTGTCGTTGGGTTAGTTTTAGCGACACTTAATTACAGAAATTCAGTGTTTTTTCCGGTCGCTCACTTCGGTCGCTGTGATCGAGAAAAGAACAGGGCCTTTAAAACATTCCTTTGAATTTGGATGGTTATTTGTTGCCGAGATTTTTTTTGATTATATTTTTTTATCAACAAACGATTAAGTCATATAAATATTACATTTTCTCGGCGATAAAAGGCTATTTTGAAAGAAAATTGTTATTTTGCAGTCTTTTGACCGAAAAAATAAATTTTATGGTTTTGACGGAAAAAACATTATCTCATAATTTTTGTTATATAATATTATTAGATTATTTTTACGAATTTTTTTTATTTTATAGTTTTGACGGGACATGTGGTTCTACGATTTTTTATTGAAAAGTGATTCACAACTTTTATGCTAAAATACAATTTTCACAGTTTAAAACTTTTGGTATTTTTGGATGCATGTCATTTTGCGCTTCCTTTTCCCCTAGATTTTCCCTCTCTTTATAAGCTTTTTGGGCAAGGAACGTACTTCATTGGATATGCTACATTGTAATAATTATTTACAAACCATCGTTAGTTAAATTTTATTCTCTTTTATTTTAACTCTTAACTTGAAATAAGAGCCAAATGTTTCCGAAATCAAATTTGAAACCAAATCATGTGATCTGCACATAGAATATGCGGTGGCCTTAATAGTAATCAGACGAATCTCCCAAAACAAGAAAAATAATTCAAATGGGGAAATCTTTCCTTTACATGGAGAAAAGTTTCTTTAATTTTCCGTCAAATATAACCCTACCTTTCTTTTTCGTCTCTTTAGTCTTCTTCTCTAGTTGTTATTGTGAACTTCATCAAAACAATGTGATTCTTAGCTTCTTTTCTTCAAACGTTTAATTACCCAAAAAATAAGTAAATTTTCAATATGGCTTTTTCAATTGTGAAACTAGTGGACTTGAAGAGAAAGAAGTGGCAGTCGAAGCTCCAAAATACAAAGAAACAGGTTTTAGGCAGATGTTTAGCTAAGTTTCGCAGACTTTTGAGTTTTCATAAGAAACAAGAAAGGAACGGAAAAAACCCTAGATGTAGCAAAACCACGCTTGATGTTGTTGTTCATCCAATATCTAGTGCTATACAAGAGGATCTTGTTGAAGACATAAGTAAGAAACAAGAAAGGAGCGGAAAAAGCCCTAGTTATAGCGAAACAACGCTTCCTGTTGAGTTACCAGAGGATCTAGTAGAAGAGATTCTTCACCTGTCTTCCGGTGAAATATTTGGTAAGATTGAAATCAGTATCGAAAGTATGGAAATCATTGATTGAATCCAGCCATCTAGCAGAGAAACATCTACGTCTCCTTGAAAAAAATTATGGACTCAAAGAGATGAAAATCACTGTTAAGTGGTCCACATCAAAAAGCATTTGTATAAAGTTTTTCTCAAGACGCAGTGGAATGGATAGTGATTCAGGAGGTCTTCTTCGAGTTCCTGGTTCTTGTAATGGTTTGGTCTGCGTCTACGAGTTGGATTTGGTCTACATTTACCTACTCAACCCTATGACAGGTGTGACCCGGACACTTACTCCTCCTCGAGGTTCCAAACTTTCAGTTGGATTTGGAATAGATGTTGTGACAGGAACATATAAAGTGGTGGTTTTGTTTGGCTTCGACAGAGTGGGAACTGTGGTTTTCGATCTCTCCACTAGTAAGTGGAGGCGGAGATACAAAACCGCTGGTCCAATGCCACTTTCTTGCATTCCAACCATTGAAAGAAACCCAGTCTTTGTAAACGGCTCACTCTTTTGGTTGTTGGAAAGTGACTTTTGGGAGATACTAGTCATGGATCTTCACACTGAAAAGTTCCGTACTTTGTCGCAACCTAATGACATGGATGATGTTGATGTGTCCTCGGGTTACATTTACATGTGGAGTCTCGAGGACCGTCTTTGTGTCTCTAATTTCAGACAAGGTGTGCATTCCTACGTGTGGGTTCTTGTGCAGGACGAGCTTAGTGAGAAGTGGGAGAGAACTAGATTTAATCTCCTAGGTCATGTCCTTCCTCCATTAAGCTTGAACTCTGCTTGGTTTTCACAGACCTTGGTTTCTCCTTACCAGTCGTCGTCTTCAACATGTATCGGTTCTAGACAAAGACAGAATAGTACCTCTGCACTATGTTAGTAACTATCTTTCTCTTTCTCATTTAGATTGCTTCTTAAAGAAGTAAACAGAATTATTTCAAGAGTTAGATTCATTAAAGCATTTGTCTTCTTTATAGTTTCAGGATATGAAGATACGGGAGTCATGGACACACCGATCGAGCTGAATCTGTTTCTACACCAATGATGCCTCTCTAAACTAATGGTCCTTTGTTTTACTTGTGGTCTCAAACAAATATTTTCTTGATTAAGTTTTGTATACTAAAGTATGTAGTATCATCAGCTTTTTCATACTCCACAAAATAACCTTTAGGCAACCTTCAAATCGTCAAATTGACCTAAATAAAACTTTAAATCTTCAAATTAACTTTTCCTAAATAACCAAATAAACCTTTAAATTGTCAAATTAATTTTGCCTAAATAAATCTTCAAATCTAAGCTGGAGCAATGGTTGACTGATGATCAACAACAATTTCTTTTGGAACAGTACACCGCTGTTGACAACATGTTATTTTTCTTCTGTTTATTTAGTTTTCGAAATTCACACATACATACAATGAGAATGGTAAAATTAATTAGTTTGTGGTTTTAAATGAAAAGAAAAAAAAAAAAAGTTGAAGGTTTTTTAGTTGGAAAATTATTTTAATTTAGAGGTTTTATATGATAACAAAAAATGTTGAAAATTTTAATTTGGAAAATGTTTCAATTTGAAGGTTTTTTTCTGGAATTTAATTACCTTTCTTTTTATTTTCCTACTTAAGCGTTGGGGGACATATATAAGTATAATCTTCAATTACCGTAAAACTTAAGAAACAAAGAAACCCTAATTCCAAAGCATTCGAAGAATGAGTTACAGAGTCGCTAAACCTTCGGAGTATCTGGCGATCACCGGTGGTGGGATCAAAGATATCAAGCTTGCGAAGAAGTCTTGGCTGTTTCCATGGCAGTCTTGCACTGTCTTTGACGTTTCTCCGGTGAACTATACGTTCGATGTTAAGGCTATGAGTTCCGAGAAACTCCCCTTTGTTATCCCGGCTGTTTTCACAATCGGTCCGCGTGTTGATGACCCTCACGCTCTGTTATTGTACGCTATGCTTATGTCTCAACACGACAAGCACTCGAATCACGTCAATGAGCTTGTTCAAGGTGTTATCGAAGGAGAGACTCGTGTTCTCGCTGCCTCCATGACCATGGAAGAGGTCTTCAAAGGTAACATACACGTTTTGATTATCTACTTATTATCGGATTCTTGCTTGGTTTCTGTTTGTTTGAGTTTGTGTATACGTAAAACTTCTTGATCGTTGTTTCAGAAGATTATGTTTTTTTGTTTTGCTTATAACACAATCGAATTCTGACATTGTGTAGGAACAAAGGAGTTCAAGAAAGAAGTGTTTGACAAGGTTCAACTAGAACTAAATCAGTTTGGTCTTGTGATCTACAACGCCAATGTGAAGCAGCTTGTTGATGTGCCTGGACATGAGTACTTCTCTTACTTGGGCCAGAGAACTCAGATGGAAGCAGCAAACCAAGCCAAGATCGATGTAGCAGAGGCACAGATGAAGGGAGAGATCGGTTCCAAAGAACGGACCGGGCTCACAGTCCAGAATGCAGCAAAGATTGACGCTGACTCAAAGATCATATCCACTCAGAGACTAGGACAAGGGACAAAGGAGGAGATTAAGGTGAAGACTGAGGTCAAAGTGTTTGAGAATGAGAAGGAGGCTCTTGTAGCTGAGGCTGACGCAGCATTGGCGATTCAGAAAGCTGCGTTGTCGAAGAACTCTCTTCTGGCTGAGGTTGAAGCAGCCAAGGCAGTTGCTTTAAGGGAAGCTGAGCTTCAGACTAAAGTCGAGAAAATGAATGCATTGACTCAGACAGAGAAGCTTAAAGCCGAGTTCTTAAGTAAAGCGAGTGTTGAGTATGAAACTAAGGTACAAGAAGCAAACTGGGAGCTATACAATAAGCAAAAGCAAGCGGAAGCGGTTCTTTACGAGAAGGAGAAGCAAGCGGAAGCGATGAGAGCAGCAGCTGATGCTGCTTTCTATTCGAAACAGAGAGATGCAGAGGGACTTGTCGCTATGGCCAATGCTCAAGGGACTTATCTTAGGACCCTCTTAGACGCAGTTGACAATGATTACACAGCCATGAGAGACTTCTTGATGATCAACAATGGTGTTTATCAGGATATTGCTAAGACCAACGCGGTTGCAATCAGAGACTTGCAGCCTAAAATCAGTGTTTGGAACCATGGAGGTGTGGATCAGGGGACCAATGGTGGTGGTAATGGTAATGCTATGAATGATATTGCTGGACTGTACAAGATGTTGCCACCGATTCTTGATACGGTTTATGAGCAGACCAGGATGCAGCCACCGGCTTGGATTGGTACACTAGGTGGTGCTGAACCCAAACAATCACTTCTGGCTCAACAACACAGAGGTTGAGATCTCAGGAGTGTTTTTTTCTATTTTAATTTTAGCACTTGTGGGGTTTTCTTTTATGCTTTAGAATTTGGAAGTCAGTATTTGTAGATAATACAATACCTAATTATGAATTCTAATTTTTCTCTTTAAAATATGGGATTATTGAGTTACAATCTTTGTAAATGAATTATAAAATACAAGATTATTGAACTGGTGATTTGAAAAATACATTCCAACCTAGTGATATTGAAAGTATTTTAGGCATTTGGTTGGTAACACCTCTCCGGTTAGATGCTAGAGAGGTCGGCCACCTATCCACCTTTGGAACATTATGAAGCTTTCCTCCGGTTTATACTCTGCGGTGTGCCCTCCTCCCTACAAAATTGAATCAAGGAAATTGTTTTTTCAAAATGTAACGACGAAAAAACATCGATTTTATTGACGAGAACCCCAAAAGGAAAAGAAACTTGCTTTGATAGTGGCAAATGTCATATTGTTTGCGTAAGTCCGTGTATATCCAATAACTTGATTGTTAAAAAACCAAGGCCTCCAATCGTCAGTTATTGAGTAGTTTAGAGATTTAATCCAAGCTTCAGTTCCAATATAAGGCACCATCATGTCGTGATCACCGCTATAAATCAATGACCGATAATTCCCTTTGATGCTATTGTTTCGGTGGTAAGGTACACTGCTCTTTATGTCTTTCTCATAAGGCAAATCCCAATTGCATCTCATCCATTTCCCTATACTTCCCTGCAGATTTCACTTTTATTCTTAGTTTCTTTATTGGCACGTAACAAATGATGGCATGTTATGTAATATGACATACTTTCACTACATGAAGTGCTCTGCGTACATCTTCATTATTAGCCCAATGTGAAGCTAGCAAATACCGGTACATCTGCGTTTCATCTCTATCGTTGAATAACTACATGATCTCCATTTTATAACTAAAGCAAGATTAATGTTTTTTTTTTTTTACTTACATAGCAATCAGGAGTGGGAAGAGAAAGATCTGACTGAACAAGTGTCGTAAGATAGCTTCTTTCACCATGTTCTCCTGAATAAGGATTTGGTGTAGCCAAATCACACAATGCTATCAAAATGAATCCTTCGTTTATCCTTGAAACACACTTTCATCATCATCAACCAAAAAATCTCAAAATTAGTCTTTCGTTATTTCCCTTATTATGATAGCTTTTTAAAATGTTAAATTAAACTTGTGTTTACCTTTTGGTAGTTTTCCATCAATTTCAAGCATTGTCTATTTGTAGGATCTACTTTAAAATAATTTCCTTGGCAGGTTCTCTTAAGTGACTACAAACAAAAGTTTAAGAACTGATTTCAACAAAAAAATACTTCATTTTCCTGGAGATGAGACTCGCTAAGACCTCTATATGTACCTCATAAAGTTCATCAGAGATAAGTCCCATTCGATGAGCATATGGAATCTTGGAGTTATGATCATTATCAAGATCTGTTGAAGGGTTCCCAAGAATATAACCCTGTTGATAGAAATGATTGTTTCGAACAAGATATATCCATCTTATACATAAAGTCATGATGAAAATATTGATGAACCTTAAGATTTATTTGAGGGTTGTAGCCATGTTCATTTCCTGCACAAAGGTATAATGTGCAAGACTGTAATAAAGTGGCTAAGTAAAACCAAATCCAGAGAAAATCTATTTTGAGGAATTTATTGTAAGACAAATAACAAACCTATTGAGATCTGCTGAACAATAGCTGGAACAACTATACCGGCGTAAGAATCTCCGCCGACATAGAAAGGATTTGAGACAAACTCTGGATTCTCCACTAGCCACTGCAAGTAATTCAAAAAGATTGTATGCTACATATACTTAGATTCTCAACAAACACTCTGAAAATGCTTTCAAGAAAGCAAGACCTTTTGAAGAAACTCATATGTCTGTTTTGTTTCGCCTGTGTCACTAGGCTTATCAGAAAGAGGAGTTGTTGAGTAGGAGAAGCCAGTCCCAAGAGGCTGATCCAAGAATATTATGCTAGCTACCTGAGAAATCATCAAATCTTTAAGAAACCGATAAAACCGAAAGAAAAAAACAACACAAGCCTAACTCTGTTTTGTGATAGAGTCACCTTTGTCCAAGAATATGAAGTGGAGACAAGAGAAGGTAAACCTCCATTGTAACCCTCAGTCTTGAAAGTCAATGGCCCTGCAAAAAACAAGAATCCATTTAGAGACTAAATTAAAAAGGTCATCAAATCTTTTCTTGAAAATCACCGATCTCGAAAGCAAGTGCGGAGAGAGCAGTGCAAGCTGGTCCTCCAGTTAACCAGAGAATAAGAGGGTCTTCTTCAGGATTGTTCTCTGATTTAATAAAGTAGTAGAACAGTTGCTCTTTCTCTCCCTCACCAACACCAATGTACCTTTTTGTAATGAAGAAGATACATTCAAAGATTGTTGTTACTAATAGTTACGAAAATCGAAAAGCAGAGGAAGGAAAAAGAGGAAACAAACCCAGTTTCAAGGTGGAATGGGAGAAGACCTTCGAAACCAGGAAGATAGCTAATCACAGAAGCTGAATCAACATCATGTTGACTCAAGAGTAGCAGTTGAAGTAGAAGAAGCAACTTAAGTTTCCATGCTTTAGACATTTTTTTTAATTAACGACTGGATTTCATTTCAGACAATAGAAGAGACTTTAAAAGAAACCTTTCCAAGTTGACCAAAGGAAAAAAAATCACGGTTTAAGATTCTTCCTGTCTCTGTGTAGTATTTCTTTAGTACTTTCTCATTGTGTATTAATTCTTTGGGTATCCACAAGGACTTAATTACGCTAGCATAAAATAAACCATTCCTATTGTCAGAAATTTTTTGGTTTTGTCCTGGATATCCACAAGATACTTATGTGTTTTTCTAGTATCTATAATTTCAACCAAGTCGCCTTGGCCAACTCCCAAGTGGGAGAATCCTGGGTTCGAGTCATCTTGGCCATTTAGCCGCGCTTTAAATTTGGAATATTTCCGAACGCGTACACAGATGGAAGGTCTCGTGGGATTAGTCTTTGGGCCTAAAAAGCCTTTGGATCTCCATGGTTAACAAAAAAAAATCTATAATTTTGATCTATATTTGTATCATAACATACAGAAAAATAATTAATAAATACTTAAAAATTAGATTTTAATTCGCGGTACAACGCAGGATGATTTATTTTTTAAAGTTAGTATATATAAAATTTTGCAAATTGTATCTTCTTATATTTGATAGTTTACAATTGTTATTAAGTAACGGTATACCACGAGTCAACGGAACAATTGTTAATAAACTGAAGATTTAACCCGTTTTAAAGCGACATATTAATGATAATTTAAAATTTTATAAATATTGATTCAAACCCGTCCGCCATAGAAATCCGCTCCAAAATATAATCCGTCCCGTAATTTCTTAAACCGTCCCGTGATTTGTTTTCTAAAAGTAGTGATTTCAAAATTTCATGATTATTTATTATATATAAAAGTTTATAAATTGTATCATTCTCTAAGACATTTATATTTTAATAAACTGAGGATTTAATCTGTATTAAAACGGCATGTTAATGATATTTTAAAATTTAATAAATATTGATTCAAACTCGTCCACCATATAACTCCATTCCGAAATATAACCCGTCATGTAATTTCTTAACCCGTCCCGTGGTTTTTTTACTAAAAGTAGTAATTTTAAAAATTTAACGATTATTTATTATATACTCCATCCGTTTCAAAATATAAGGCGTTTTGGAGAAACTTTTTTGTTTCACAATATAAGTCTTTTTCAAGTTTCTATGCAAAATATATATTACTTTAATATTTTATGATTATTTCTATTATGCAGTCTCTTTTATGATTGGATGAACTTTTAAAAAGTAGATCTTCTTAATCGGCGTGCTTTTAGCTAAAACGCCTTATATTTTGAAACGGATGGAGTATAAAAGTTTACAAATTGTATTATTCTCTAAGACATTTATATTTTATGGTTTACAATTGTTATTAAGTAACATTATACCACGGGACAATTTTTGGTTTTATACAATCTTTTCTAAATGAGACTAATTTGAGATGTCTAATATTGGTGGTATTAAAAAAAATTAAGTATTAAATCCGTACTGAAGCGGCGGATTAATGTTATTTAAATTTTTAATTATTGTTGATTCAAAAACCTGTCCCGCCAAACCCGTCCCGCCAAAAAACCCATCGATTTTATTAATGTTGATCTTATTTATGAGATGATTCTGAATCATTGTCTAAATATTTAAGTCGATGTGGAACGTTAAACACACATTTTTCGTCAATTGGATAATATATGTTCATTTTAAAAATTTCGAATCACAGTATATGTAGAAAAAAAACTTTTTTTTTTTTTACTTTATGTATTATATGATGATTCAAAACAGTTAAAAACAAATCAAACAAAGATGATAGGAGAATCATAATTCTAAATCTTAATTAAAATCTTCTTAATATTTAAATTATTAAATATGGAATATCCGGTGTATAAGTTGGGTTAAATATAATCCGACCCAGCAAATTTTTTATGACCAAAATTTGTAAACGGGTTGGATACCCATTGTATCCAAATGCATTTTGCCCCCACCCGCTAAAAATGTACTTCAAAAATACTAGTATAGATATAAAAAAATTTCAATAATCATAGGAAAGTTGTTGTCATAATTTTTTATAACTTAAATATTTTGTAATTAATTTGATGAATCCAAATTACAATACATATAGATCTATAAACTATATCAATATAATATATACTCCACTTTCTCCTATTTAACTGAATATGTTAATAGAGAATTAAAACGTTAAATTGTTCGGTCAGATAATTTAATGACGTGCCTTATTTGGCAAAGTCAACGAAAGTTCGTGATTTAATTGAAAAATTAATGAAAACTGGATATTTATTTCAGCACAAGCAAAGTTCTTGCTTTTTTTTTTTGTTTTTTTTTTTTATCACTTTTAGTAAGTTTATGTTTTTTTGACATTTTCCCATAAGGATATCCATTCTGGGATGCAGAGAATTCAATCAAAAATGGTATAGTTAAAAAAGAGATTTTAGATAGGCATACTAGCTTTTGTTTATATTTCTTTCTAATTGACGTCATTATCAGATGTAGTCTATGAAGTTAGATTTTTTTTTTAGTTTCTTATATTAAAATCTATAATCATTGCGCCCGCAATATGCTTATGGTCGACTATGAATTCCGGTTATCATGAATTGGTTGGAGAAGTATAGATGTCAGTACGTGATACATGTGCAAAATTATGTTTGGGTATTATTTTCTTGATCAAACCAAAGGAGGCGTTGCCTTGTTGATGACGAAAAAGTAAATTACAGAGTAATTGACTTTAGGAAAATTCTTACTTAAGTAATGGGAGAATGAATTGATTCATTAAGAGAAATCATTTACAACATATATAAGACTTAGACTAGGGCTTACACAATGACTAATTACAATTATATCCTTAATTGTCGGAATCCGCAATTACGTATTTCGTTGCTTTGCGTCAGGTCTCTAGTTTTGATAGTCGAACATCTTCGAAACGTAATAGAGTGAATTTTTAAAAAAATGTTTTTGTATCTATCTTGGCACCAAAACCCAAAGATAACATAGCTTCTAAAACGAAATTAAAATTAAAAAAAAAATCTCAGCTCCAGAAAGATTATTTAATTTTAGCCATTACTAATATTTTTGACCCCAATGAAAGGCATGTTCCGGTAGCCAAAGTGGAGAACGTTTAGTCTTTACGTATATTGCATCGGGTCTTGCACTATATACGATTAACTTATCACATTCAGGAATAAAATGTGCAGTGTATGCCCCGAAAAAAGAATAAGTAATCATTTTTGAGCCAGACCATTGCTCCAAGTTGCAGTCCCATGCGAACCTTCTAACGGTTGCACCCTCAGCGAAACTAATACGTAAAACCTCATGATGTTTCACATCTTTGAAGACTCGACGGTTTTTGCTGGAAACGCAAGTGACTCTAAGAGTACGACCATTAACAAGCTCGTTTCTAAATATAAGACGGTTATCTTTGCAAGCTTCACTTAATCCAAAACAAAAACTAATAAGTAACAAAAGAGCTATCATATGATTCATGTTTTTATATATTCTAACTCGAAGTGATATGGATTAGTGTAGTTATTTATAGTTCTTTCGGTAAAGATTATTTTTAGTGTATCTATAAAAGGAATTTTAATGAAAAAGAAAGCCACAAGTATTGGCCGATCTATTTTAACGCTCAACTAAATTATGAATACTTTTTTTTTTCTCAAGTAAAATGCCTTTATGAAATAGAAAGCTTATGGCCATGCAAAAATTAGAACACAAATGTGAACCAATCATACTCATGCCTTAGAGCATTTAGTGCCAAATAGTTAGGTTAACCATTTCAGGTTAAACCAAATTAAAACTATGAAAGCATTTAGTGCGTCAACTTTCAAATTTCGTTGTAAACAAGCCTCAACTTTCTTTGATGAAATATATACCCAACTTTTATTGATTTATCAATTTAATCGCTAACTTCTATTGACTTCTATTAAACTCAGAATAAATGCTATTGTATGTGTTTAATAGTGTTTTCATAAACTCGGATGGATTAATCAGTTACCATAATAATCTGGATATAAGAATTGAGTGCTTTTGGAGTTTTTTAGTTAGTTAGTTGTCTGATGGTTTTTAATTGGTTTAGTCTATCGTAGTGGAGTTAGGGTTTTTTTTTTTTTAATTAGGTTTTTGGTATGTGTATATAAACACTATTTATGCTAACACTTTAAAATTGTGCGTATTTCTAACCAAATCAGTTAAATGCGGAACTTAGAGGAAAAAATCCGAATTAGAACCAATCTGGTTGACATCCATTGATGATGTAAAGACAATAAATAAAATTGATAAAGACATGATAGCTTTTACATGGACTCATGTTTCTGGATTGAGACATATTAATTAATTGGACAACAAATAATAAGGACAAAGACTTGAGATGATCAAAATGATTATGACAATATAATGACTGTGGCTAATTAAGTAAAATAAAATTAAGGATGTGACTGGTTTTTTTTTTTTTTTTTTTGCAAATACTTGATTTCATTCATTCAACCAAACAAACCAAATCAAAGTACAATGATAGGAAGGATTCAAAGATCCCAATATTAATAACATGAAAAGAAAGAGCATTCCCCAATGCTACAAAACGATAGATAAGATAAGTCGACTTGTGATCCATAACCGCTCGGAGACAAAAGCTAGAAGGCAAATTGACACAAGCAAAACCATGGCGAGTCGAAAGCAGGATGTGACTGGTTAAACATATAGAATAGATGGGAAGAAAAAATAGAAAAAAAAGAAAAATCACTTCAGGAGAAAAAATGATTTTTACTTGCTTTGAAGATGGAAGAATTCATGTAATTAGTTACTTTTTGATATTTTTCAAAGATAAAATTTCCTTCCAAGTTTTTTCCGACTAATACATGTAATTTTTTTTTTCTTTCTTTCTTTTTTATTTATTTATTAAAGTTAACTAGTCAAACCATCAATAATATGGCAACTATGGGTCATGTGGATTAGTAAGTGTGAAAGCAAGTCTTTTTTTTCCTCACCTAACACCTTTTTTTCCACAACACATGTCACACTAGTTAACTTAATATTTGGACCATCTTTTACTATGCAATGAACATTATACAAATCGTTTTTTAGTTTTAATTAGGAGAAAATAGATCAAATGGATTACTAATTCTCAAAATCTTGTTTCACTAGTGTGAGTGAATTAAAGATACATCAACATAACTATAAATGAATATGTAATTGGATAATGATCTTTATACACCACTAAATGGATGCACAAGGCAGGAGAAGGTCCCAAAACATACTTTTAAACAGAAATGGATAATAATAAAGGTATTTAGAAATGGATAATAATAATCTTTATCACAACATTAACCTCGATATTACCTCACACCGAAATCTAAACTTTGTGAAACTTTTGGTGCAGACATGTTAACCCACTTTCCCATCACGTCCGATTCTGAGATCAGTCATATCACTAACCGGTTGAACCATCAATCCATCATGCCTTCTCCAGCCACCGTATAGTACACATGCGGCTTCCCATCTGCGAATACGGTTCTTGTAACCCCATTGGACGACCAACACTAGTGTATAACATTAAGTAATTTGAAGAAATATATAAAATATTAATCAAAACGCGTAAAAAGAGTAAAAGTAAACTTAACTTTGATGATTAGATCATGTTACAAATCGACGTCAAAAGGAAAAAAGAAAAGAGCTACAAGTAAACATTGAAAAAATTCGAGTCACTTTATAGTTTATTATAGGAAAAAATGTCAAAAAAATGCGTCAACTTTCAAATTTGGGACGATTAAAGCATGAACTCTCAAAATGTCACTTTAATCACAAAGTTTTTGTTGATTTTCCCATAAATAGCTAAATTTTTGTTGACGTGGCCAAATTAGGCATCACGTTAAGTCCCCGTTAGAACGACGCTGACGATGTTAACTTGCCGTTTACAGTCACCGTTTAACTAAAACGATGAGATTTTCTTCAGAGACTGAATTGTCTCTGCTTCTGCTGGGCTCTTCTTTGATGGTATCGATGCCGCTTCAATCTCCGATGGTATCGATAGTTCTCACTCTTCGATGGGTTTTGAATTGTCTCTGATTCTTCTGGGATCTCAATCGTCTCAGGTTCTCGATTGTTTGCTCTGCCTTCTTCCTCTACCAAAGCCAGCAGCCTCCGCGACCGACGAGAATTCTAATTTCCTTCACGCGTCTTCACTATCAGGATCTATAAGCAAGAGGACAAGAGAATTTGAGTTTTTTTTTCTAGGGTTAGGGATCGATTTGGGAATGAAATCGATTTGGGGGTTTTGACATTCTTCTCTCACTTAAACGACGACGTTTTTGTTTTAGGAAAAACGTCGTCGTTTTGGTTAAACGTTGACTGTAAAAGGCAAGTTAACGGGGACTTAACACGATGCCTAATTTGGCCAGGTCAACGAAAACTTAGCTATTTATAGGAAAGTCAACAGAAACTTTGTGATTAAAGTGACATTTTGAGAGTTCATGTTTTAATCATCCCAAATTTGAAAATTGGTGCATTTTTCGACATTTTTCCTGTTTATTATACACGTATCAACACCAAATCTATATATAATAGCAATCTAATAAATACCATTTGCACATCTGAACGGTTGCGTCTTTTTATCGCAACCTTTCGTTTAAATCGGTTATTTTTTTACGGTTATTTTGGTTGCGTCTTTTCGTTGATATATTTACGGTTGTGTCTTTTATCGCATCTTAACATATTTACAGTTTTTGTTTTACAGTTATATTTGTGCAAATTACAGTCGTATCTTTTCAGTTTACGGTTGTGTCTTCATAGTTGCATCTTTTTTTTTTTTTTGACGTCTGGATTTATTATTTATTGCAAATTATGAGAACTATTACATAGACGATTCTACAACGGACAATTCCTTCCGACCCTTATTAGATCCACGCATACGACACTTCCTTCTTCATGCTCTTGATAGACACCTTCAACGATCCACGACCTGACGACACTTCCCTCTCTGCGTAGAATCTTGGCGAACGGCTATAATTGTACATCGCTGGAGATCTCCTGCACACTTGCCTCCATTAATCTGCAAATTGGTAAATAAATCGCAGTATCTGGGACGCGAACCCCAGACCTCTTGATGTAGAAGCATTAATTAACCCTTAGTCAACCAATGGGCCAAGGGGGCTTCCACTTTCATAGTTGCATCTATTTATTTAAAGTTATGTCTCATATTATATAGATTTAAATTTTGGTTTTAAAACTAAAATATATATTATATGGTTGTTTTTTTCAAAAAGTTGCAATCTGAATAAATATTTTCTACGGTTGCATCTTTTTATCGTAACACCTCATAAACAATTGCGATGTTTAGTTGAACCATTGCAACATTTACTTTATTTAACGAACAATTATAATTTTTGAATTATTTTATAAATTGTTAAAACATTTAATTTTTGAAAAACTAAAAATATATATTATACGGTTGAATTTTTTTAGAAAGTTGCGATCCGAATAAATGTCTTCTACGGTTACGTTTTTTTTTATCGTAACTTTTCGTAAACGGTTGCAACCGTTTAGTTGAACCATTGCAACATTTAGTTTATTTCACGAACAAATGCAACTCTTGGTTTATTTTATAAACCATTATAACATTTAATTATCTATAGTCACGTCTTTCGGTATAACTTTCTCTAAACTATTACTTCAATTTTAGTTACTAAAATATAATTAAATGAAATTTTAAATGTTTAATTGAACCGTTGCAATATTTGGTTTATTTGACAAATTATTGCAAGTTTTGGTTCTATTTTATGAACCGTGGTAATCTTTAGTTTATTTGACGAACCGTTGCAACATTTGGTATATTCTACGGTCGCTTCTTTTGGTTATAGTTCTTCATCAAATTTTTAATTTTAATTACTATAAATGAATATGTTGCTACCGTTTAATAGAACATAGTAACATTTGGTTTATTTGACGAACCAATGAATATTTTGGATTATCTAATGAACCGTTGTAACATTTGGTTTATTTGATGAACCGTTACAATATTTGATATATTTGATGAATCATTGCAACTTTAGTTTATTTGATGAATTATTACAACTTTAGGTATATTTGATGAACCGTTGCAACATTGCCTTTTGTGATACATTTTTTAGGGCATTAACTAAAGTTTTTTTTTTTTAATAAAGCATTAACTAAAGTTATATCTGTTCATCTAGAGTATTATCTTGTCACCATGTTTTATTCGTGTTTTTCAGCACATACACTTAGTTCTAATAATTGTGTCTTTTACAAACAATTTATCTATTTAAACTTTCATCTCTTTATAGCTCTATATATGTATATATATTATGTTTTTAAAAGTGGTTTAAATTTATTATTTCTTTTTGTTTGATATTTTTCATAGAAAGTTACATTTTTTGCTATTTAGCATTCATATATATACTTTGTTATCTATATCATTATTATTTTTTCTAAATAAATATCTATTTTGGTAATTTATTTAATTTTTCTGAAGATTGTCTCATTTTAACATAATATAATTTAAAATATTACGTCTTTTTATCGTAATATTTTGATGAATATATTTTTATAGCTAGTTATATTTATAATAGTTTAGAAAATTGAAAAATTGCATCTACTCATTAGAACTTTTTGTGTAATATTTTTTATTCATGGTCGTATTGTTTCACCATAATATTTTCTAATAATAATACAAATCTTAAAAAGTATTTGTGAGAGTTTACGTTTCTTTATCATATTTTTTTTGTAAAATATATCTTTATTTATTGTTAAAAAAAATTGTTTTGAAACTTGTTGTCTCAATTCATTATGACATTTCGTTTTTCTTCAAAATAGCCTGAAATCTTTTCCCCCGCGATGTCGCGGGGGGTCTAAGTCCTAGTAAACATAAGAAAAAAAAAAAAGAAAAAAAAGGACATAAGAAAAGAAAATTATAAACAAGGTTGCATATGGGATCGTTTTTCTTTCCCAATTAGTTGAATTAGATAGCGACCAAAAAAAAAATGGATAAGAGATTAATCCATATAGGATTTAGCTATTAGGGAATATCGTAATTTAGAGTTTGTCTAGACAACCGAATTCGAAAAAACCTACTAAATCGATCTGTTTGATAATAAGTGAAAAACTGATACGTAACCATAAGATCCATATTTGAACTCATCTCTTAAATCTATTACAAAGCTATTACATATGTTACCGAAGAATTTATCAAACAAAACTTTAAAACACTAAACGACAAAACGTAAGCTATGTTATTGGAAGTTGCTAAGAAACTTCGTCTTCATTGCTATTTTCCACTTTAAAAAAGGTATCAGCCCTTATTACCACTCACTCATCTCACTTTCTTTTTTCTCTCTTACACTCCAAGATCGTTCTCGATGGCGTCGTTCATAGATCTTTTCGCCGGCGACATCACGACGCAACTCTTAAAGCTGCTCGTTCTAGTAGCTAACACAGTCTACAGTTGCAAAGGAATCGCCGAACGACTGATCACGATGATCAGAGACGTTCAACCAACGATCAAGGAGATTCAATACAGTGGCGTGGAGCTGAGTAACCATCGCCAAACTCAATTGCGAGGATTCTTTGAGATCTTGGAGAAAGCAAGAAAGCTATGTGAAAAGGTTTTAAGATGCCGTAGGTGGAACCTTAAACACGTCTACCACGCCAACAAGATGAAGGATCTTGAAAAAAACATATCTCGTTTCCTCAACAGCCAAATTCTGCTCTTTGTTCTTGCTGAGGTATGTCATCTACGGGTTAATGGTGACCGGATTGAGAGGAATATGGATAGGCTGTTGAGTGAGTGGAATGATTCTTTGTCGTTTCCGGAGACTGTGATGGAGATTGAGACGGTAAGCGATCCATGGATTCAGATGGTAGGATTGGATTTGGGGAAGAGAAAGGTGAAGGAGATGATGTTTAAGTTTACGGATACATATTTGTTTGGGATCTCTGGAATGAGCGGTTCAGGGAAAACCACTCTTGCAATAGAGCTTTCAAGAGACGATGATGTTCGAGGTTTGTAAAGTTTCATTGAGTTTGCTATTGTTGGTTTGATGATTATGAATCTTGATCACGATTTATCTTGTGCAGGCCTCTTCAAGAACAAGGTTTTGTTTTTGATTGTGTCACGGTCTCCGAATTTTGAGAATCTGGAGTTTTGTATACGAGAATTTCTTAATGATGGAGTTCAACAACGGAAGCTAGTGATTCTTGATGATGTTTGGACAAGGGAATCCTTGGATAAGCTGTTGTCCAAAATTCGTGGAAGCACAACTTTAGTAGTCTCACGGTCCAAGCTTGCAGATCCTAGTACCACCTACAATGTGGAATTATTAAAGGAAGATGAAGCAATGTCCCTCTTGTGTCTCTATGCTTTCGATCATAAGTCCCCGCCTTCTCCATTCAACAAAAATTTGGTGAAGCAGGTAATGCTTTAGTTTTTTTTTGAATCTGTAACTAAAAAATACACTTGCTTCCAAATACTAAAAGTGTTACTCTGTTTGGTAGGTTGTTGATGAGTGTAAAGGATTACCTTTATCTTTGAAAGTTCTCGGTGCTTCGTTAAAAAACAAACCTGAAAGATATTGGGAAGGCGTAGTGAAGAGGTTATTAAGAGGAGAAGCTGCTGATGAAACTCATGAGAGCAGAGTGTTTGCTCATATGGAAGAAAGTCTAGAAAACCTCGAGCCGAAAATCAGAGAGTGTTTCTTGGATATGGGTGCATTTCCTGAAGACAAGAAGATCCCTCTTGATGTTCTCACCAACGTGTGGGTTGAGAGGCATGATATTGACGAAGAAACTGCGTTTTCCTTTGTTCTTCGTTTAGCTGACAAGAATCTCCTTACTATCGTGAAAAATCCGAGGTACTCGCTCTTTTATGATTTTGTCTCTTGTAGCCATTGTCCGCGTTTCAAAGGGATTTACCATATCGTAATTTTTCAGGTTTGGTGATGTGCACATTGGCTACTATGATGTATTTGTGACGCAACACGATGTTCTTAGAGACCTAGCCCTTCATATGTCCAATCGTGTGGACGTAAATAGGAGAGAGCGGTTATTAATGCCGAAAAGAGAGCCAATGCTTCCAAGAGAATGGGAAAAGAATAACGATGAGCCATTTGATGCCAAGATAGTCTCCCTTCATACAGGCAAGAATTCTTTAACTTTAAATGAATTTGGTTAGTGGCTAGAGTCTTTCAAAGGTTTGATGAATTTTTATGTCTTTAGGGGAAATGGATGAAATGGATTGGTTTGACATGGACCTTCCTAAGGCAGAAGTTTTAATACTGAACTTCTCTTCTGAAAACTACGTCTTGCCACCATTTATTGGTAAGATGAGTAGACTCAGGGTGCTCGTGATTATCAACAATGGAATGTCTTCTGCGCGTCTACATGGCTTCTCCATCGTTGCCAATTTGGCCAAACTAAGGAGTCTCTGGCTCGAGAGGGTACATGTCCCTGAATTTACCAGCAGCACCATTCCACTGAAAAAACTGCACAAGATGCATCTAATCTTTTGTAAGGTCAACAACAGCTTTGATCAGACGTCATTCGACATCTCGCAAATATTTCCAAGCTTGTCTGATCTCACTATTGATCACTGTGATGATCTTGTGGAGCTAAACTCCATATTTGGGATAACCTCTCTCAACTCTCTCAGCATAACCAACTGTCCAAGAATTCTTGAACTGCCCAAGAATCTGAGTAATCTACAGTCTCTTGAACGTCTAAGGTTATATGCTTGCCCCGAGCTGATATCCCTCCCGGTTGAAATTTGTGAGCTGCCATGTCTAAAGTACGTTGACATTTCACAGTGTGTCAGCCTGATTTCTCTTCCGGAAAAATTTGGAAAGCTAAGGACACTTGAGAAAATTGACATGAGAGAATGCAGTTTATTGGGTTTACCAAGTTCTGTAGCTGCCCTCGTGTCTCTACGTCATGTCGTTTGCGATGAGGAGACTTCGTCTATGTGGGAAAAGGTCAAAAAGATTGTTCCGGAACTTTGCATTGAAGTCGCCAAAAAATGCTTCACCGTTGATTGGCTTGACGATTAGGCTTTTTGATCCCTCAAACTCTTAAGAACCTCTTGTAGTAATCATTGCTCATCAGAGCAAGTTATTTGAACTTTGGAATGTCTCTATATATATAACATCATTTTTAGCTATCAATCTTAATCTCTTTCTATCACAGATTAATCAAAGTATTAAATTCAATAACAAAAATATGTGAATCCCAAGGTAAATTAATACTCCCTCTGTCCCAAATTATAGGATGTTTTAGCATTTTTTCCTTGTTCCATTTTATAAGATTTTCCCAGATTTCTATGCATAATTTATGTTTATTTAGTATGTTATGACCATTTAAATTGTGCAGTCTTTTTTTCTATTGGCTGAATTCCTATAAAAAATAAACATTAATTATTCTTTAATCTTTGTGCTTTTACACAAAACATCTTATAAAATGGGACAGAGGGAGTAGTATATAGTATAAGGCAACTCGTCACGGTAAAGCTTCCTTACACTTCATTCGAAAGTATATTATTCTCTTGATATCAAACAGTCTTTTGGAATGGAGAGACGAAACGTTTCCATGGTCTTTTATGAGTCTATCCATCTTATAAGAAGAGTTTTTATCTATTTAAGGATTTAGGCACTGTTTTTAATGGCGATATCACCAATAATGTTAATGCATTCTTAGTGTTTGAGGTCCATCACCGAGCTTAGAACTTTCCTGCACCTGTCTAACAAGGACATTGTTTACAACTCGATTTCATATTCAGTTCACAAATATGACCTTTCTGGAGCGATAAAGGCGTCACACTTGCACAAACAAGATTTGACTGGTTCAATCAAGAGAAAAAGATCGGATCACAAGAACTTATCGATACAAGAAGCAGAATGGAAAAAGAGTGATGCGAAACCAAAAGAGCACAAGATTTAATTACGAGTTCAGATCAGTCGATGTGATTGATCCTACGTTTGAGCCAGTATGGAATCTAGCAAGTCGTTATATGAAGTGTAAAGAGTGATCAATAGCTCCACAAATCTTGGGTCTTATGATCGAGAGTACGGCTATATATAGCCTTTATACTCTGTTTTCTACTCTATAATAAACTACGTATATTAGAATCCAAAATATCCCACATTGATAGAAGATATAATGTTTGGCAAATAAATAAGGTTTATGTGCCTTTTCACTCGTTACCAATTGATTTTGATTTAAAAGCCCATGATTCCTAATATGGTATCATAAGCGTTCCCACAAAAACGATCTCCGATCTATATTGCGTGTATAAATGGTCCGTCTTGTTGTGGTATTTCTGAGATGATGGGTTTGAGTTGTTCCCGTTTAACTGTTTCCGACCCACATTTCGAGGAATCATATCAGAATCCAAAATATCTCACATCGATATATGGGATAATTCTTGTCTAATTATATAAGGTTCATAGGTCTCTCCACTTATTGCCGTTTTGATTTGTAAACCCATGATTCCGAATAAACAATATCTGACTTTAATAGCTTTTCAAACTGAATTTCTATCCACTTAGCCGTTAGTTCAATTCCAATTAAGTTCTTAACCATTGATTCACGGTTCAGTAATAAACAAAAATTGTGATATGAGTCAAGTTTCTCTATGTTAAAGCGTTGTTACTCTATACTCCCTCCGTTTCACAAAGAGTGTCGTTTTAAGATTTTAATTTTGTTTCACAAAGAGTGTCGTTTTATGTTTTCAATGCAGTTTTTAAGACTAATTCTCTTTTTTATCCCTACTATTTCAGATTATTAATTATAAAGAGGGTATTATCTAGTGTATTAATAAGGGGTAGAAATGACATTTGTTTAGTTTTCTTAATTTGTGTGAAAAATGGTAGAATGACACTCTTTATGAAACAGATGGAGTATTAAACATGCGTGAGTGTTTGGGAGCCAATTGGCCTAAGATGCTGAGATGGCTTAATTAAGCTTACAAGTTATTCTTGTCTCCATAAAATATCAAGGACGTCTTAATTATGTAATCCATTCCTTGGTCATTGCAATTAAGTTTACAAATTATCATCAAAATATGAAGTTAAATTTTCAACTTAGTTTTTGTTTTTTTTCTTATAGATTAAATCTAACTTCATTGTCAAAAATATTAAACAGTTGCAACAGGATACATATATTTTACTCGATGAATCCTTGTTATCATAAATTAATGGAGAAACATAGCTGTATGTATGCATGTGTAACATATAATTATTTTTTGTTTCGGTATTATTTTAAGATTTTGCTTTAAAAAAAACAAAAAAAAAATACATCCATTGGTTACAAAACCAGGGGTGGAAAGAGAAAAATTCAATTGACAATTTTCTTACAGGAATGGTCGTCACATGCCTAATTTTACGTTGATATTAGACTTTGTTAAGTTATGTTAATTTGGAAAAAATTTCAACAGAGAAAACAAGTGAAACCTTTACACATTGTTATGTCAAGTTCCATTGAAAAGTATTGTCAATGGGAAATGAAGACTCTTTATTAGTTCTTTGACTTTGCACTAAAACACGTGTGAACTCAAAGTAACTTTGCATTAAAAGCGAAGGAATGGGTCAATATTGGTTGATGTGTTTAAGTTAGAGGCACAAATCATTGATAATAAAGAGGACAAAAAAGACAATAAAAATCAACCGAATCTGACAAGTTGACGCAAGACTTTTGCTCAAATTGATGAGTTTTTCCATTTTTAAGACACAAGCCACCTTCTTCTCCACACACAAATTTTTTATTGCCATTGTTATTTCTTCTGCTTGATTTTCGTCCTACTTCACACTCTTGCTTCTTCTACACTCAACCATTGCCGCAACGACCAGAGGGATGCTCTTTTGGAATTCAAAGATGAGTTTCCGAGTCTTTTGGAGTTAAGCTCATGGAACAAGAGCAGTGATTGTTGTTCTTGGGTGGAGGTCACTTGCGATGCCAAATCTGGCAAGGTGATTTTACTTGAACTTCCTTCCACCTCTCTTAACAGCTCTTTAAAACCAAATAGTAGTCTTTTCAAACTCCAACATCTTACTAAGTTATCCCTTTACAATTGTAGTCTCTATGGAGAGATTCCTTCTTCCTTAGGATACCTTTCTTGTCTCACAATTCTTGACCTTTCCTATAATGCTTTAGTAGGTCAAATTCCATCTTCAATAGGAAACCTTTCTCTTATTTCATTTCTTGACCTTTCTAATAATAGATTAGTAGGCCAAGTTCCTACTTCCGTTGTAAAGCTTTTTCATCTCGAATGGCTTGTGCTCTCTAATAATCAATTAGTAGGTAAAGTTCTAGCTTCGTTAGGAAACCTTACTCAACTATACTACTTAGGCCTTGGCAATAACAACTTCAGTGGCAATATTCCTGTTTCATTTTCCAATTTAAAGAAACTTAAAGAAGTGTACCTCAATAATAATTACTTTGAATCCATGCTTCCACTTAACATGAGTGGCTTCCAAGAATTGTCTTATTTTGATGTGGGAGAAAACTCATTTTCCGGGCCTTTTCCTTCATCATTGTTCACACTTCCTTTGTTAATGAAGGTTTTCATGGGGAGAAACAATTTCACAGGACCTATAGACTTTGGGAATATATCTTCATCATCTAACCCGGGGCTGGTTTTATACCTTGATCATAACAAATTCGATGGGCAAATACCCGAATCTATATCTAAGTTTCTTGATGTAGATTTTAGTTACAACTCTTTTAGTAGTTTTGGAAAATCATCGGAAGTTTTAGAGGAAACACAAATCGCGCAGTTGGATCTTAGCTCAAATTCCTTCCGAGGACCGTTGCCCCAGTGGATATGTAAGCTTAGATCGTTAGACTTCTTAGATTTGTCCAATAATAGCTTTAGTGGCTCAATTCCTCAATGTTTAAGAAATTTAACAGTTTCACTTAACCAGCTACTTCTGAGTAATAACAATTTCAGTGGAACTCTTCCGGATATGTTCGTCAATGCGACCAATTTAAAAGTACTTGACGTTAGCCGCAACCAGTTGGAGGGAAAACTTCCAAAATCATTGATTAGTTGTAATCACTTGCAATTTTTGAATGTGCAAATGAACATAATCAAAGACACGTTTCCATTTTGGTTGGGTTCTCTACCATCATTAAACGTCCTCATCCTCCGATCAAACCAGTTCTATGGGCCGGTATATCAGCCCCATTTATCCGCTGGGTTTCAAAATTTAAGAGTCATCGATATATCACACAATGGCTTTAGTGGATCATTGCCGCCTTCCTATTTTTCTTATTGGCATAACATGGCCAGAATCGTCGAACAAGATTACGATGATGAGAACTTAGGCAACCCGAGGTATGGTATCGACTATCATAATTCGATGGAAATGGTGCATAAAGGAGTATATACAGAATTTGAGCGGATTAGAAGGGACTTCAGAGCCATTGACTTTTCAGGAAACAATTTCTTTGGAAATATCCCTGAGTCTATTGGTTTGTTGAAGGAATTGCGTGTTCTCAACATGTCAAGTAACGCATTCACAAACAATATCCCACAATCATTGGCAAGTTTGACAAAGCTTGAGGCATTAGACCTGTCCAGGAACAATCTGTCTGGTCAGATTCCTCGAGATCTTGGCAACCTCTTCTTTTTATCAATCATGAACTTCTCCCACAACAATCTTGAAGGTCCAGTACCACAAGGCACACAGTTTCAGAGGCAAAATTGTTCTTCGTTCATGGACAACCCAAAACTCTACGGTCTTGAGGAAATATGCAGAGAAACTCATGTTGCTAATCCTATACCACAAAAATCTGAGGATATGTTGGAGCCAAAAGAGCAAGTGATTAATTGGATAGCGGCAGCGATAGCCTATGGACCTGGTGTCGTCTGCGGATTGGTGATTGGACATATCTTTACTTCTCACAAACATGAATGGTTCATGGAAAAGTTTGGTCTAAACAAGCCAAGAGGATTTATTAAGTCCATCTCTTAAGTTTCTCTGAGTGTAGTGAAACATATTTGTCTGTAATGAAATCGGAAAATGTTTTCAAAAATTCGTTTATGTTTATAGTTTTATATTTTGTGATTTTGTAATATTGTATATTTTGACTTTCAAATGAATTCAGAAATTTCTTCCTACTCAAACAGGAACTTTTGATCGTATAAAAGGTTTATAGGGATTATTAATTTTCACACAAAATACTTTCCCATAAAGTCTAACGAATAAAAATTAAATAATTCAATTTTTTTCAATTAAGATTTCTTAAACTTTGCAATTTCTTAACATTAATTAACAAAAATGTATTGGAAAACCTATAAAAATAAATTTGTGGAACAAAAAAAACTTAAACATCCATATGTGTGGAAGTGAGGGAGTACAACTCCTACCATTCACCATTGCCGCATCGACCAGAGGGAAGCGCTTCTTGAATTCAAAGACGAGTTTCCGATTCTTCAACATAACCCAAGTGCTAATGATACATCTTTAAGCTCATGGAACAAGACCAGTGATTATTGTTCTTGGGAGGGTATCAAGTGCGATACTAAGTCTGGCGAGGTGACTTCACTATCACTTTTTGACATTTTTCTCAACAAATCTTTGAAACAAAATAGCGGTCTTTTCAAACTCCAACATATTCAAAACCTAACCCTTAACAATTGTAGTCTCTATGCAGAGATTCATTTTTCATTAGGAAACCTTTCTCATCTCACCAAGCTTGTCCTTTCGTCTAACAGATTAGTAGGTCAAGTTCCAACTTCATTAGGAAACCTAATCCAACTAAGACTACAGCGATGTTTTCTCACACCTCTTTCAGCAGTTTTGGAAAATCTGATGAAACAAAAATGCAAGTGTTGGATCTTCAATCAAATTTGTTTCAAGGACCATTTCCTTATTGGATTTGCAAGCTTAGATCATTACGTCTATTAGATTTGTCCAACAATAGCTTCAGGGCTCAATTCCTCAGTGTTCATGGAACACCACTAGTTTACTTGGAGTGTTATTTCTACGTAACAAAAATTTTAGTGGGAATTTTCCAGATATATTTTTCAATGCTACCAAGTTGGAAGCATTTGACGTTAGTGGCAATCAATTGGAGGGAAAACTTCCAAAATCACTAATCAGTTGCAAAGGTCTTGAATTTTTGAATGTAGAAGGCAACAGAATTAAAGACGAGTTTCCGTTTTGGTTAGGTTCTCTTTCATCGTTAAACGTCCTCATCATCAGATCAAACCAATTCTTTGGCCCGTTGAACCATCCCCACTTATCCATTGGGTTTCATGGTTTAAGAGTCATCGATGTCTCACATAATGACTTCAATGGAACATCGCCGCCTTTCTATTTTTCAAAATGGCTTGAAATGACTACATTAAGTGGAAATTTTGATGACACGTACATGGAAGATTCCGGGAATTATGTTGGTGTGTTTCTTAATTCGATGAAAATGGTGCATAAAGGAGTTGATACAGAATTTGAACGGATCAGAAGAGATTTTAGAGCCATTGACTTTTCAGGAAACAATATTTTTGGAAATGTCCCTGAATCTATTGGTTTGTTGAAGGAATTGCGTGTTCTCAACTTGTCAGGTAACTCATTAACAAGCAAAATCCCACATTCATTAGCAAATTTGACAAAGCTCGAGGCATTAGACTTATCTCGAAATCAGCTATGTGGTCAGATTCCTTGAGATCTTGGTAGGCTCTCCTTTTTGTCAGTCATGAACTTCTCGCACCACAATCTTGAAGGTCCAATACCACGAGGCACACAGTTTGAAAGGCAAAATTGTTATGTTTTCATGGACAACCCCAGACTCTACGGCCTCGAAGATATATGTGTAGAAACTCATGTCTCGAATCCTACATCACAAGAATCCGAGAATTTGTCAGAGCCGGCAGAACAAGTGATTAGTTAGATAACAGAGACAACAGCCTATGGACCTGGTGTGTTCTGTGGATTGGTGATTGGACGTATCTTCGCTCCACACACACATAAGTGATTCGTGGAAAATTTTCGTCGAAACAAGCCCAAAATAGTAGCCCGGAGCAGGGGCAGACCCACTAAGAGAGAAGGTGGGTCACCTGACCCAGGTTAAATAATGAAATATTTGTTTTTGTAGATAATATCCATTAAATACCAACAGCTCAGTTGGTAATTCTCATGATTTTGACACCCCAAACTCAAGTTCAATTCCCCTACTTGACATTTTTTATCTTATTTTTTCCTATTTTAACTTATATAAATATCTTTTGTTTTAGATATTTTTTAGTTTTTTTAAAAAAATAGTGTTTTATATACTTTTTCACCTGCTTATGAAAATGATTTTTTTTAATTGTTTATGTAATCTAAAATAAATTATATAATATTGTATTTAAAAAAATATTTGACCCAGGTAAAATCAATCTCTGGGTCGGCCACTGGCCAGGAGTGCTCGTTGAAGACCATCTATTGTAGTCTCTCTAAGTGTTTGTGAAGCAAACGTATTTGGTGAGTTTTTTTTATCTTAAATTCAAAAGGTCAGAAACTTCTTCCTCCTCTAGTCACATCCTTTCACAGTATCAAGGTTAAATTAAATTATAAACTCCATGGTTAATGTATCCGATTAATTTAATTCCTTATATTGTGGTGTTTATATGGTTATCAAGAATTCTATAGGCTTATGGTGATTTTGATTTTATCATTTTTCTCTTCCATTAAAAGTTGAAACCATTAATTCACATCACTTTATGTCTTCCCTTATGAAGAGTTTCCGTCAAAAGCCCCAATGGAAACTCTTCTTCTCCTAAAATCACAGAGTTTGAAAGACTCTAACACTCTTGCTTCTTGCACACGTCACTGTTTGTAAACTTAGAAATAGATAAAACATGTTAAATTGTCAACATAATTTACACTAAAGCTGAAATGGGTATTAAACTATCCAAAATCTAAATGAAAAAAAATCAGTAAAATGTTCCCACCGGATAATAACTTGAAATTGTAGAGGAGATTAGCTAATGTGTGATCATATGAAATAGAAAAAATGGAGCTTTATTTTACCAAAAGTTAGAGAGAATGCATCTATAATTAATTTACCGAATAATCCCTCTCACTCTAATGCTAAATTAAGGTCTGCTTCATGAACCTAAATCTATCGGCCCATCAGAAGGCCCACTTGTCCACCGTCTAGATCATTGTACAATACTAAAGATCGTTCTAAAATCTAAACAGTCAATCTTTTGACTTTCATTTTTTTGGTCAATATCAACTGCGAAAACATGAGACGTAAACGTTCTTGACACAAAAAGTTGTGTTACGTAACTCAATTTCGGAAAATAGATAAAATATAGATGAAGCAACAATAAAAAAAAAAAAAAACATGATAGAAAGATATAAAAGGCCGATCGAAGCAAATGTTGTGACTTTTGTATTCCGAAGTCGAAGTATACCAAAAAAAATTATATAATCATCAGAAGTCTGAAAAAAATTATATATAGTTAAGGAAAGTAGAAATTTGTTATTTTTTGTACGTGTTAATTGCTAAACATATACATATAATAATCAAAAGAAGACAAAAAAAAAATCTAATGAAACTGTCTTTTTCAAGTGTGTCGGGGAAAAGATAAATTCGACCACCATTACGGATACCACTAATAATTATTGTCACATGCAAATGGATTGGTCAAAATCGTCAACTTTGACTTCACAGCCTCAAGTAATCTTCTTCCCACTATTAATATCTCTTTTACTAAGTGCTTCTCTCAATAACCACAACACAACACCACCATGAACTCTTCCTTTACTCTCTTCATCTTTACCTTCGTTATCTTTCTCCGATGTCTAAATCCCACCGGAGCTGCCACGTGTCATCCTGATGATGAAGCGGGTCTTCTAGCTTTTAAAGCGGGTATAACCCGAGACCCTTCGGGTATTCTCACTTCTTGGAAGAAAGGTACTGCTTGTTGTTCTTGGAACGGTGTCACTTGTCTCACCACTGACCGTGTCTCCGCACTCTCTGTCGCTGGACAAGCTGATGTTCCCGGAAGCTTCCTCTCCGGCACTCTCTCGCCGTCGCTAGCTAAACTCCAACACCTCGATGGGATTTACTTCACCGATCTCAAGAACATCACTGGTTCTTTTCCTCATTTCCTTTTCCAATTACCAAATCTTAAGTACGTTTACATTGAGAATAACCGCCTCTCCGGTCCTCTTCCGGTTAACATCGGTTCTCTTAGCCAGCTCGAAGCGTTCAGTCTCCAGGGAAACCGGTTCACCGGTCCGATCCCAAGCTCGATATCTAATTTGACTCAGTTAACACAACTCAAACTCGGTAGTAATCTCCTAACCGGAACTATTCCCTCAGGAATTGCCAATCTCAAGCTCATATCCTATCTCAACCTTGGAGGTAACCGGCTCTCTGGAACCATACCGGATATTTTCAAATCCATGCCAGAGCTCCGATCTTTAACTCTCTCCCGCAACGGTTTCTCCGGGAATCTTCCTCCGTCCATTGCATCACTCGCACCAATTCTCAGGTTCCTCGAGTTAGGCCATAACAATCTCTCCGGGACAATCCCGAACTTCTTATCAAACTTCAAGGCGCTTGACACATTGGATCTCTCCAAGAATCGGTTCTCGGGAGTCATACCAAAGAGTTTCGCTAATCTGACCAAAATTTTCAATCTTGATCTCTCCCATAATCTTCTAACCGATCCATTCCCTGTCTTGAACGTTAAAGGGATAGAATCTCTGGATCTTTCATACAACCAGTTTCACTTGAATACGATCCCGAAGTGGGTGACTTCTTCACCGATCATCTTCTCGTTGAAGCTAGCAAAATGCGGGATCAAGATGAGCTTAGACGATTGGAAGCCAGCGCAAACATACTACTACGATTTCATCGATTTGTCGGAAAACGAGATCACAGGGAGTCCTGCAAGGTTCTTGAACCAAACAGAGTATCTAGTGGAGTTCAAGGCCTCGGGTAACAAACTTCGGTTCGATATGGGGAAGCTAACGTTTGCAAAGACGCTGAAAACCTTGGATCTATCAAGGAACTTGGTATTTGGGAAGGTGCCAGCAACGGTGGCTGGACTAAAGACATTGAACGTAAGTCACAACCATCTTTGCGGAAAGCTTCCGGTGACAAAGTTCCCTACCAGTGCGTTTGCGGGTAACGACTGTCTTTGCGGCTCTCCACTTTCTCCTTGTAAAGCTTAAGCGGCAAGAAAACTACAATTGGTAATTTGGATTTACCGTGAGGGTTCATGTTTAGCTCCAAATAAGATTTGTATTAAAATAACAAATAAAGTAGTTTTATGACATGAAGAAGCTTCATTCCACCGATATGTATTAGTAGTATTCAAGTTTTCAACACTTTGCAATATTTTATATAGAGATTTCTGTTGGTACAACAATGAGGAATTGAAATGAAATATAGAAGCATTAAGAAAGAATTTGGAATTAATTAAATGATTGTAGATATTAGATTTTTTTGCCACTAAATTAGTGTGATCATATAGCATCATTATAACCACTAAGTGTAATTTGTAAGGAAAAACATATTACTTCAACTTGAACATGATAGAAAAATGATGAGAAAGGAAAAAACAGAGTAGTATTCTGATTTATGTAACGTTTGCTTATATTAGACTCCTTATGCAGTATGCAATTCTTGGCTGTTGTGTTCCATATTCAGAATAATTGCAACAAATGATGCGTAAATAATGTATGTTTACTACGTTTTAACTCGCCCTATAGCACATGACAAAACTTTTCATTTTTAATTTAGCGACATTTTATTTATAAGTTTTCCCAATTTATTATTCTTAAGTGTTCTTAAATTGGTTAACAAAATTTTAGTTATTAAAATCAGAGCAGTCCTTACTCGAAAGATGCATATAACTTCATCACAACAAATTTTATTTCATCACACTTAAAGCTTACCAAACAACAAACCAAGTAATCGATTTAAAGCATCAAACCTCTTTTGCTCTTTACATACACATCACACAACTTCATTCCCAGGACATATAGCGTCTGCATTGCGGCATGAGACCATCTCTGAAGTGGCTTTCCTCTTAGTATTGTTTCTTGTTTTTTTTTTTTTGTCTAAAACACTAAAATTCTACTAGACTTATGCATCCACATTCAATGAAACAAAGACATAGTAAACCAACCTAGAAAAACTATTCAAAAACTATACACCAAAGGGATTCATAAGAGCGGCAGCATCTTAAACTTCACCATAAACGAAAACTGAGTAATGGTTTCTTCCAAAACAATCTAAGCCCTTTCTTACGATAAACAAATAGATAAAGCTACTACTGTTTGATTACGCTAAGAGAATTAAGGCATGAATCTATCAGCCCATCTTGAGGCCAATTTAGTCCACAACCCACAATCTGGATCATTGTACGTAGATATCTTTGACTTTTATTTTGTGGTCAATAATGTACATATTGTTAGACAAAAATAACACGTTAATAAATATTTTGAATTTTTTTTCAAAAATAACGTACATTTTGTTAAACATAAATGAAATGTTATTTTTCCAAACTAAGTTTCATAATAAATTAAAATATTATTTAAACATGATAGAAAACAATAGTAATTTGACAACAAAATTCTAGAAAAATAAGATACGTTGTACCTTTTTTATATAATCACCAAGAAACTGATATTATAGATATCTGATGAAAGAAACTGTCTCTTTCAAGGATTGAGAGATGATAAAATCGACAACGATTACGGTCACGGATATACGACCACTTATTGCCACCACATGCATGCATATGACTTGGTCAAAATCGTCAACTTTGAAATCGCCACTTTCCATCTATTATTAATAGCTACCATGAATGCTTCTCTCAATTAACACAACACAACACTACCATGCACTCTTATTCCTTCCCTCTCTTCATCTTTGCCGCGGTTATCTTTCTCCGATGTTTAAGTTCCATAGAATCTGCCACATGTCATCCTGATGACGAGGCGGGTCTTTTAGCTTTCAAATCGGGTATAACTCAAGATCCTTCTGGCATTCTCAGCTCATGGAAGAAAGGTACTGACTGCTGTTCATGGAACGGTGTCGGTTGTCTCACCAACCGCGTCACCGGACTCACTATCAGCGGACAATCTGATGTTACCGGAAGCTTTCTTTCCGGCACTATCTCGCCGTCATTGGCCAAACTCCAACACCTCGTTGGGATTTACTTCACCAATCTTCGAAACATCACTGGTTCTTTTCCTCAATTCATTTTCCAATTACCACAGCTACAACAAGTTTACTTCACGAATAGCCGTCTCTCCGGTCCTCTTCCAGCTAACATTGGTGCGTTAAGCCAGCTAAAAGAATTAAGTCTAGAGGGAAACCAGTTCACCGGTCCGATCCCGAGTTCGATTTCCAATTTAACCCGGGTATATCTCCTCAATCTTGGAGATAATCTCTTAACCGGAACTATACCGGTAGGGATTGCTAACCTCAAGCTTTTGTTGTCACTCAACTTTGGCAACAATCATCTCTCTGGAACTATACCTGATATTTTCAAATCCAAACGGAAGCTTCAATCTCTAACTCTCTCCCGCAACAGATTCTCTGGAAATCTCCCTCCGTCCATTGCATCACTCGCACCGATCCTCCTGTACCTCGATCTAAGCCAGAACAATCTCTCGGGGACAATCCCGACCTTTTTATCGAACTTCAAGGTGCTGGACTTGTTGGATCTTTCTAGGAATAGGTTCTCTGGGGTCGTGCCAAAGAGTTTAGCCAATATGCCCAAGCTTTTCCATCTCAATCTCTCCCACAATTTTTTAACCGGTCCATTCCCTGCCATAAAGAACCTTGATGGCATTGCCACTCTAGATCTTTCCTACAACCAATTTCACCTCAAAACAATACCGCAATGGGTGACATCGTCACCGTCCATCTACTCGTTGAAGCTAGTAAAATGTGGGATCAATATGAGCTTAGACAATTGGAAGCCAGTAAACCCCAACATTTACTATTACATCGATCTATCAGAAAACGAGATCTCAGGGAGTTTAACATGGTTCTTCAACCTAGCGCATAACTTGTATGAGTTTCAGGCGTCAGGGAACAAACTCCGATTCGACATGGGGAAGCTGAATTTAAGCGAGAGACTAGAAAGCCTCGATCTATCAAGGAATTTGGTATTTGGGAAGGTACCAACAACCGTGGCTAAACTGCAGAAACTGAACTTGAGTCATAACCATCTTTGCGGAAAGCTTCCAGTGACTAAATTTCCGGCCAGTGCGTTCGTCGGTAACGATTGTCTATGTGGCTCTCCACTTTCTCCTTGTAAAACTTAGCGGCAAGAAAACTATAATTTTGTATTTGGATTTACTTTGACACGTAGGTCCATATAAGATTTGTAATCCCTAATAGTAATAAAATAGCCTTCTCGTAGAAGCCTGCATGGGCATGCAATTTTTACGGGAACAAAAAGATAATTTCAATATTTAATAGTCAATTTGATGAATCACGTTGAAAAAATTGGAAATAAATGACATTTCTCTATATGTCTGTTTATTTATATATTTTCTATTTAATCATGATTTAGGACTAATTAAACTACCATTTCTAAATCATTTTAATAGATTTAAGCAAATATTTAGAGGAAAAAAGTAAGTACACGTTAGAAAAAAAAAAGATGACATGAGGAAGAAAATGATTAAAGAAAAGAGATTTATCATGAATCAACTCTAAAAGTCTTATGATTTTATTGACAATGATCATTTAAGTCAACTTTTCCTTGAAACATCTATATGTTTTACATGTTCTAGGAAATTTAAACTATGTATTCTATATGCTTTATATGTTTTACAAAGTTTTAAATTCATATATATTCTACGAATTCGAAGTATAGAATTCAGATTAACTATACGTTCTACAAAGTTTGAAATATGTATTCTATTGTTTACTCTATGGTTTACGATTTATTATTGTTGATCAAGAAAAATGTACGAGATTACTTGCTTAGGATTCCAGTATTGCTTTATCATGACGATTTTAATGTTGATATCTTTTGTAAAAATTGTATAGGCTATATATAAGCTCACTTCCACCATTGTAAACACCACGAATCAATTTATCAATAAACTCGAGAGTTATAGTACAAAGTGTGTCTTTGTTCTTCTTGGTTCGTCTTGTTGTTCTAAAGGTATTGTGTGTGGTTTTTCCTTTGCCTAAGGTTCAGCCGAGTCTTGTTCTTCTAGTGCGTTGAGTCCCCAAAGAAGTCAACAAACACATCCCTCACACGGGTCAGTTACTATCCGTCGAAGTCCATTTCTATATTCATTGCCTCTGTTCAAACCGTAGGTCTTGATCATTGTATGATCATAAGTTTGGTGTGATTCCAATCTTATATCACCAAAAAACTCCATTATAAGTAACAACAATAGTTAATACTTATTATTGTATTGGTGAAAGTAGTATTTCAACCATTCTACATTGTTTTCCATACATGCGAAATGTTCAACAAAACTGATGACACGGTGCAATTGTTTTTTTGTTAAAGTTTTTTTTTTTTTTTTTTTTTTTTTTTTTTTTTTTTTTTTTAACCAGGTTATCCGGGCCCCACCACTGGTGGTCCCGACTAGCACCGTATTGGGCATTGCCCTCAAGTGTCGTCCTGGTGGCCTTACATACCGGGTTCACGTTATCCCATCGCTAAGGGCGTGGCAGTGGCCAAATGGGGTAAAATCCAGGAGTGTCGCGCTTGCAGGGAGTCGATCCCTGGCCTGGACCAACAGAGTCGCTCCTCTGCAAGTGGAAACCACTGGACCACCACCACTTGGTTACGGTGCAATTGTAATATCACGAAACAATTTATAAGAATTAGAAACATTTATTTTAGTCTAACAAGTAAAGGATCAGTAATAGATTCGGATGGAATACTCGTATTTACCATTTAGGTATTTAAGTCTTACAAAATTCATGGAAATTCTCCAAAAAAACTTTCATATTTTATCAAAATTTATCTAGAATTTAGCGAAATATCCATTTTTACCCGTTCGCGAAATTGACATTTACCCAAAGTAGTGAATATAGGAATTGAATTTAGTTACTCATATTTTCTGATCCTATCTCATGACCCGAAATTCTCGATCTCATCCCGTCACCCGAATTTCCATCCTGTATTTTATCGGAAATAATTCAATAGTGAAAATTTTCATTCGTCTCGTACCCGCTAATTGATAATGCTAAGTTAGGGTGTGGGTTGAGTACATATATATATACCAGCCTATATCGAAGCCCAGTCGCCCCATCGTCTGGATCATTACACTTAGATGTTTATAAATCTAAACATACAAATTTTTTACTTTTATGTTTTGGTCAGTATGAACATCCCAAAAAGAAAGACAAAATAACATACATCTTGTTACACAAACTAAATTGTTACTTTTGTAAATAAATTTGGAATAAAATATAACTTCAACATGATAGGAAAAATGACAAAAAAAATATTTTCGTAAGTAATTAATTTTTCGGTATCATGGTTCCCACGACTTTACGTACTTCGAGTCTTCTATACAACAAAATCACTCTCGTTTCATTTTCTTCCTCATCAAGGAATAAAACATTTTCTCTAATACCAAGATAACGCGGCATGAGATAAGATCTATCTGTATATCACTTATTGCTGCCACATCCCACATGCAAATGGATTTGTCAAAATCGTTGACTTTGACTTCGCAGCTCTCAAGTCGTCTCTCTCCCTCTATTGATAGCTACCAATAGCTTCTCTCAATCACACCGCACAAAATAACAATGAATTCACTCTCCTCCTTCACTCTCTTCATCTTTTCCGTCATTTTCTTTCTACAATGTTTAAGTTCAACCGGAGCTACCACGTGTCATCCTGATGACGAGGCGGGTCTTTTAGCTTTCAAATCGGGTATAACTCAAGATCCTTCTGGCATGCTCAGCTCTTGGAAAAAGGGTACTTCTTGCTGCTCGTGGAAAGGTATCACTTGCCTCAACAGTGACCGCGTCACAATGCTTGAACTAGTAGGATTTCCCAAAAAACCCGAACGGTCCCTCTCCGGCACTCTCTCGCCGTCGCTAGCCAAACTCCAACACCTAAGCGTGATTAGCTTAGGAGATCATGTGAACATCACTGGATCTTTTCCTAAGTTCCTTCTCCAATTACCAAAGCTAAGGTACGTTGACATCCAGAATAACCGTCTCTCCGGTCCACTTCCGGCCAACATCGGTGTGCTAAGCATGTTAGAAGAATTTTTTCTTCAAGGAAATAAGTTCACTGGTCCGATCCCGAATTCGATATCGAATCTGACTCGATTATCTTATCTCATTTTCGGCGGTAATCTCCTAACCGGGACTATACCCTTAGGGATTGCTAACCTCAAGCTCATGCAGAATCTGCAACTCGGAGACAACCGCCTCTCTGGAACCATCCCAGATATATTCGAATCCATGACGTTGCTCAAATTTCTTGATCTCTCTAGGAACAGATTCTCTGGGAGACTTCCTCCCTCCATTGCGTCACTCGCACCGACACTCCTGGCTCTCCATCTGAGCCAGAACAATTTCTCCGGGGCGATCCCGGACTATATCAAGATTCAACAGGCTTGAAAAGTTGGATCTCTCCAAGAACCGGTTCTCGGGTGTTGTGCCGAAAGGTTTCGTCAATTTGACCAATATTAACAATCTTGATCTCTCCCACAATCTTCTAACTGGTCAATTTCCTGACTTGACTGTTAACACCATCGAGTATCTTGATCTCTCTTACAACCTATTTCACCTAGAAACGATTCCACAATGGGTGACCTCGTTGCCGAGCGTCTTCTTGTTGAAGTTAGCAAAATGCGGGATCAAGATGAGCTTAGATGATTGGAAGCCAGAGGCACCCTTCTACTACCATTACATCGATCTGTCGAAAAACGAGATCTCAGGGAGTCTAGAAAGACTCCTAAACCAAACGAGTTATTTGTTGGAGTTTCGGGTATCAGGGAACAAACTTCGATTCGATATGGGGAACCTGACGTTTCCGAGGACGCTAAAAACCTTGGATCTGTCAAGGAACTTGGTATTTGGGAAGGTGCCTGCGGCGGTGACCAGTTTGCAGAGACTGAACTTAAGTCAAAACCATCTTTGTGGAGTACTTCCGGTGACAAAGTTCCCGGCTAGCGCGTTTGCCGGTAATGACTGTCTCTGTGGTTCTCCACTTTCTCCTTGTAAAGCTTAGTGGCAAGAGAACTACAATTTTGTATTTGGATTTACTTTTTGACATGTAGTTCCGAATAAATTTGTATTAATAACAAATAAAGTTGTTTAAGATATGAAAAAGCTCAAAACTACAACGATATGTATTAGTGAAAATAGTATTTAAGTTTTCAGCACTTCAGAATTTTTTTTTATTGACTTTCGTACTCTGGAATTGTTTTTTTTTTTTGTTACTATGGAATTGTTGGTAAAATGAGGAATTGTAGAAGCATTAAGAATTTTTTTAATTGAAATAAAAGAACGGATATTTTACGTGTCTTTTGTCTTGAGGATATGTAGTATGTACTGCAAAATGATTCAATATTTATGGACTACTAGCTTGTCTCACATGTATGGTACCAAATTATTCTCAAATCTATTACGATTGAAAAAGATGAAAGAAAGTTTGTTAGAGATTTGAAATTTGATAATTTTTCATTAGTCGTAAATATTGTTTATCTGTACAACGTATATATACTGTAGAGACTATACCAACTTAACCGGAACATATAACCTGATAAAATCCTCTTGCTCTTGTAACAATGTTGATTGTTACTAGTAAGATTAGCGACTTAAGCTGAAAGTTGTCGTCCTTTCCTCCACTTAAAGAATTTGGAGTCTCTCAAGATATTGTAAGTTGACCTAAAATTATCCATCTTGTATTTAGTTAAATTTATCCTACAAAACGATATAAATTTTTCTTTGATGCAGGGAATTGAGGAGATGCAACACAAAGGGGGAACTTCCAGAGTTTATTGGCCAAGGATTTTTTTTTTTTCTTAAGATAAACTGGATCTTTATGCCCAAAATCGGTTTACAACTTGTGTTTTTTTTTTGTGTAGTTACCGCAGGTTTAATTTCTTAACTGGCAAGATTTCTTCATCATTCGCCAATTTGAAGACAGCTGATTTCGTGTAAGTATTTGAACATGCATTAGTTTAAATTAGAATCTTTTCTTCTCTGATCACAAAGATAATTTTGAAGTATTTCCTATCAGTTTCTTGACTGGAAACAAGCTGACAGGGGGAATTCCAAATGAATTCATTGAAAGAAACATAAATCTGTATGGGATACACATCTTTTTTAATGTCCATTGTGCTTGTTCAATGATGTTTGTTTTCTCTTGACGTGTAGAGATATATATCTATGTCTTTTCTAACTTCCAATGTGCTTGTTCAATGATGTTTGTTTTCTCTTGATGTGCGCAGAGATTTATCTTACAACAACTTTACTCTTCAAAGTTCGATTCCTAATGGTGATTGCGACCAAATTAATAATTTGTAAGTTTTTTTGAATAGTTGTTATGTTCGTAACACTCCATTCATACATTAAGAGAAACGATACCGTGGTGCTTCCTTTTTCACGAATTTGGTGGAGAGATTCTTCACCGGGAATGAATCGTAAGAAACCATATCTCCATATATATATAGCACGTGTTCTTTTAAAATTATTTGATCCATAATAGCATTCAACTTTATGCTAAACTCTATTTTCGAATAATATTCTTTTACACCATATCAACACCAAATCGCTACTCTTTTCTTTATTATGTCCCAACACACCTATTTCTCCAATTATTTTGACTTCTAAGGATAATGATGAATGTCACAATATGGTAGCAATCTTATATAATATGAGAAGGTTTTCTTCTAACTTTTCCTACCATTGCGACATTTGGCACTCTCTTTTGGTGACATGTGTTCTCTTTCATTTCATTAATGTTTGTTTTAATTTATTTAAAATCCTTAGTTTTGAAAGTTTGTACCTACAATTTAATTCCAAAAAAAATATTTCTCTTATCCTATTGATACATTTGACATGTATTTAAATTGAAATTTGTATCTAATTTTTTTTGCCAAAATTATTATCTACTTAATCACCACTTATTCATCTGATTCAAAATTATGGATCAGTAAAATTTTAACTTCACAAAATATTAGTACATTTTTAAAACTTTTCATAACATTAGTACATTTGGCATCTATTTTTACATTTAATTGTTTTCCTCATTTTTCTATCTTACATAATATTTTCATATCTCCATAAAATACATTTCTAATCTTTTCTAATTTGTCTCTTTTTTTTTCTTCTTTCCAATCTAACTTTTTTATAAAAAACATTTATAACACCAATTTATTCTCACCTGTTACAACTCCAAGTTGGAGTATTTATTTACAATTTTTATTACACAATACATTTAATGTATTTATATAGTATAATATAATTTACAGGAATTATTAATGTATTATTAATTTATTATTAAATTATTTAAAACCTCTATAAATTAATACTCTATACATTAATAACCTCTCTAAATTAATAAATTCTTTAGGTTCCGAGTTAGGACCAGTGTAAAATATGACATAAATCGATAAATTAATAAGATAATAATTTTTTTCCGAGTTGGTCCCAACATTATTAATTTATAGAGGTTTTACTGTATATTGTTTTATAAATGTCTCAGTAAATAAAATTCTAACTTATGTAACAGTTAATGTAATTTTAATAAAGAAATATAGTAACGTGCATTATATTAATGTATTGCTCCATGTGTTACGCCTTCTCTCAAAATAAATATTTGCGACGAGTTTTCTTCTCGAGTAACGCTTTTCATGTGGCTTCTAATACCGAAATATATTAGTGTTTTTATTTTTGTTCTGGAATTAGTTACCCAAAGTAAAACCCACAAATGAACTTATTAAAACATATGTAACGTCAAATAACTCTAAATTGATGCATTAGGCTAACAGATAACCACAATAACTCCAATTAATTCAAAAAATTAAATCTAATTAATTTTAGAGTGTAAATTAATACTCTAAATATTGACTCCAATTAATGTACTTCTATATATTACCCACATGTGAAGCTAAAAAAACTATTGTAGAGTTTTTGCTTTTTCCAGTCCATTCTTTTATTTTTTATTGACTTTTAGTTGCTTTCTCTTTATTTCAGGCTATCGTCCACATAGTAAAAATATCTACAAAAGTTTTCTCATTTGGTGTTCAAGTTAGGTTTGTGATTTCATATGGTGTTCAAGTTAGGTTCACCAACACCATTAGTTCTACATAAAAGTGTTCTATTTTTTTAAAAGTTCTATTTTTAATTGTTTCTCTATTTTTCAACTCACCAATAAGATTTAATTATATACATACATTGAGAAAATTTATATCTATTATTATGGTCAGTTAAAGTGTAATTATAAATTTAAGTATTTAGATAAATGGCATTACATTATATTTATTAAATTTTTTACTCTTATGATCTATATGTATTCATAAATTTGAAAACCATAAGTTTGTTAAAATATTTATGATATAAATTGAAAAACCATTTATGTAATTATTCTCAACATCACTTATCAAAAAGTTAAGAGTTTGTTTTCAAATTTATGAATACGTAAAGTTGTTTCAAGATGATTTTGTTCTTGAATACGTAAAACTCATGGGATCATGAGTCATTCTTTATTTGATAGTTTATGCCATTCTTTATTTCTTTTACATAATTACTCAACGTTTGAGAGGGATCGACGTTTGAGTTTCATATATCTCGAGTAAATAGTTTTTTTTTTATTTTATTTTTAATATTGTATAACATTTGACTTGATTATGTTTTGAATTCAATTTTTTTTAGTCAATCATACAAATTAAGTAAGAAATAAAGATCAATGAAAGAATATAAAATTTGTATTTATTTTTATCAAAGTTTCCATAAAACCAACCCAATGAAATTCAACCAAAAAATTTAAAAAGTTCCACCAAAGGTTTTTTTTTTAATCTATCCTCATGAGATTTTTGAAAAGAATTATGTTTGCTAAGGGTAATTGCATAGAATATCATAATTGACTAATTCAGTTAAAACCTAACATGCCATTAAAGTATTTAGATAAACGGCATTACATTATATTTATTAAATTTTTGTACTCTTATGAGTTATGACATATATATATATACAAAGTTTATAAAATGGCATTTTTTTTTTCAAACAATTGAATTTATATATATATATCAAAACTGAACTAAATTTTTTTAATATAAACTTTCAAAGATAAATTTTTTATTATATCATCTGAAGTCATTTTCCTAAATTAAATATGATTATAATTAAGTGTAACATATATATTTGTTTTTTGTGCATAGGCTAATTCAATTTAACTTAGGTTTGGGCCAGGCCCATTACAAGAGAAACCAGAGACTGTTTTACCAATGAATCGGCATTTGAGTTCTGCAAACGGGGAATGAAACTAAACGAAATAATATCAAAGGTAGAAGATAAATTCAGGATATCGAAAAGAATCCCATGAAGCTCCTTGTGTTGAAGCTCCGATTTTAAAGCTTTGACTAGCTGTGCTGAGTCGGAAGCGAGAGAGAGATGTGAAAAAAACAGATTAACATATATAAAATATGTTTTTGCTCATTTGGACCACCTTGCTATTTTATTAAATTTAATCATTATCACAAATTAATTAAATTTTTCTTTAATTTTTAACATATATAGATAAAATTTAGCAAAAAAAATATTAAATATGATTATGTTTTACCTTTGATCTCCTAATTTTATTATGGATTATACGGATATAAAATCTAAAGCTTATTGTCAAGGGAAAGTCATGAGGTCAGGAAGATCTACCTTCTGATGAGATCAAACGAGGGAAAACGGCCAATATCAACCCCAATTATCAACTCGAACCCACATAAATTTCAAATAACAAACCTGAACTATGTAATCGTTAGCCAATTTTAACATATACCTGTTATTAAATAATGTAACAAACCTGAATTATTTAACAAACCTGAGGCATTCAAACACACTATTAACTGTTATTGTAACTCCCATAAATTAAATTTGCTATATGTATACATTTTCTCATGGTGGAGGTTACATTTAAATATTAATTTACTATAATTTATTTCATCATTATAAGAGTAGCACAATACGACATACCAATCTCAAATCTTAACATGAGAGACGCAACATCCATCAAAAACCAAAATACATGAGGTTTTAGCGTAAATTTGTTTTTTAAGTGCTATCTCTTCCTTTAATTTGATGCTTTAAATTTAATTTTATTGGTTTCT